AAGTTCGATATTATTATTAATTATTAATTATTTTTATTTTTATAACGAAGTACTTATTTAATTTATAATAGGCTTACTAAGTTAGTACTTTAGCTAATTTTAATTTTTAAATTTAGTATTACTTAGGGTAAGAAAATGTATTTATTAACGTATTATTAAAAAGAACGAGGATATTAGGATTTAATAAGTATTAAAAAGGCTAACTAAATTTAAGTTTTATTATTATTATTAGAGTTATTATTATTAAATATTATTATTAAACTATAAGTATTATTAAAAACGTAGCTTAGTAACCCGAGTTAATTATTAGATTTTTATATTAGAGGACGAGCTTTCAGGGTACTTATTAATTAAAAAGTACTAACGTTTAATTATAATTTTATAAGTATTATTAATATAGATATAAATATTAATAATAAAAGGTTATAAATATTAAAAATTTAAAATAACGGATTATTTATAATAAATAATAAGCTTATTATATTTAGGAAGGATAATTTATATATTGTAATAATTTATAAAATAAAGTTTATAAATAGAAGTTTTTACGTATTTAGGACGTAATAAAGTAGTTAAGATAATTAATTAGTAGTATTATTAGTTTAGCTTTATAATAAATATATATTAGTATATTAGAAATTATTATACGTATTATTATTTTTAAACCCCGTAATAAGCCCTTAGAGAAGCTAAAGCTTTTACTTATATTAAATTATCTATAATAATATGTTTTAATAAATTTTATAATAATACCCTCGATTAAAAAGTTTATAATATAATATATATAATAATTAATAAATTAAATAAAAGTTATTTTAATACTTTATTATAAAATTATTATAATATAGGATATAAATAAAATATTTTATAAACGAGTATTATTAATTTTTAAACTATTTAAAATAATTCTTTTAATTATAAACAGCCCTTAGTTTATATTAAAGTTTCTAAAAGATTATATAAGTTTTATAATATTAAGTTATAGTTATTAATAATAGATTATTTATAAATAAATTACTAAACTAAGATTTTTAATTAATATATCTTATAGCGCTTATAGCTCTTTATTAATTATTATTAAAATAATTAAAATAATAAACTTTTATAATAAACTTTATATACGTAGCCTAACTAAATAAAATTATAAGCTTATTATTTTACGAAATAGAGTTTAGTTATTAATTTTAAATATTTTTAATTAAACTATTAGAACTTAATATTTTAACTTAATTAAAAGAAGCTTAACTATATTAAAATTTAATAAATACCTTAAAGTATTTATAAAGTTTAGGAAATTATTAAAAGTAATATAGAAGTTATTTAAGTAAAATATTAGAAGTATATTAATTATTATTAATAACTAAACGATTTAAAAATTAGTAATAAAGTATTTATAAACGTATTTTATTAGAAAATTAATAATATTAATAAATTATAATAGCCCTAAGCTAGCCTTTAGCTTATTATAAGTACTAGCCTAAGTAATATATAAATCGTAAAACTATTTATAATAAGTAAATTTTATTTAGTTTTTATTTAAATAAGTTATAAAAAGGTTAGGACCCCTATTTAAATAATATTAAGACCCCTTATTATTAATTTATTATAATATTAATAAGCCTAAGTATAAGGTTTTATAGCTATTTAAATTATAAATATAGTATAATAAGCTATAATATTAAGTTAATTAAAAGGATATAATAGTATCCTAACGTAATATAATATTAAGAGCTTTTATTATATTTTAATAATATTATAAGCTTTTTATAAATAGTACCCTATTATTATAAAATTATTATAAAACTTTTTATTATAGATAGAAATAATAGTTAGTAATAACTTAGCTCTATTATAAGCTAATAATAATATAGTAATAGCCCTTATAATAATAAATTTAATAAGAAAGTTTAAGTTTAAAGGACTTATTAAATTTCTTTTTATAGTTTTATTAAAAGTTATTATTAATAAATTTACGATTATTATTTAAAACTAATTTTTGTTTTATAATATTATATATTTTACTAATAATTTAAATAGTCCGGGAGTTAATAAAGAAATTTTTATATTAATAGTTAATAATAGTTATTATAACGTATTTTAACTTATTATTATTAATATTAAATATAATTAAATATTTTAAAGTTTTTAGTATAATAGAGGCTTTAATATTTATTATTAAGAAGTATTATTTACTAATAATAAAATTTATAATATATATTATAATTACTTAGTTAACGTAAATAACTGTAATATTTTATTATTTTATTATAATTTTTAATTATTAATAATTATAAAATTATACTATTTAGCCCTATTTAAGAGCTAAATCAAAAAAGATTTAGAAAATAATAATATAAAAATTAATAATAATATTTAAATTACTAACGCTTTATAAAGTTTATAATAAACTTTTAAATATAAATTTTAGTTTATAGTAGTTTTATTATATAAAACCTAATAAATTAGAGCTATATTAGTACTAACTTTTATTTTATTAATACTTATAATAAAGTTAAGTACTAGGCCTTACTAGCTAATAATAAAATAGAAGAAGGTAATAAATAATTAGTTAGATTCTAATCATTTATAAAAAAATAATTATAAAAGATTTAAATAGAATTAAGTACTACAGATAGCGCTTTTCGTATTAAAAAAGTGGGGTAATATTAAAATACTAAGTAATAAGCCCCTATATACCCGGGTCTTAGGTACTTAGCGGACCCTTTATAAGTTACGAAATTACTAAGTTACTAAGCCTAAAAGTTTAGCACCCTAGATTCTATTTATTAGTTTATTTTTTTTTAATATTAAGTTATGTTTATTAGGTTAATATAGTAGCGTTCTGACCTACCTCGAGTTCTTTCTTATAATACGCCCTATAAGTAAGCTAGTCTTATTAAAATTAATATTAACTTTTATTATATACTTAATAAACTTTATAACTAATAATAACTAGCCGTAGTCATTATATTAACCTAACTTAATAAATATATTAAACTATATTAATTACTTTTTAAATAATTAAAAACTACTACTTAAATTTGTTTTTAAATCTTTTAACTTTTTAAATAATTACCTTAGCCTAAGCTTAGTTATATAATTCTTTAATTATATTAAAAATTAATTTCTATTTTAAAATTAATATTATTAAAGCCCTTTATAAAATTAATATTTTAATAATAACGACGCTAATTCTTTTAATTAATCTAGCTTTTTATTTAAATCTAATCATTTAAGGCTATATTTATAGATTTTTTAAAAAGTAATATTAATTAGTATTATAACCTTAAAATCGAGCCGTTTATTATAAAAATAATATTATAAATTAATAATAATTATTTTAATATCTCGAATATTAATTATATATTCTTAAAAATTAATAATAATAAATTATAATAATAATTTTTAATTTCAATAAGAAAAACGAAGTAATAAATATATAATATATACGTATATAAATAGGGTTAGAAGCGTATATTAATAGTTAATATTACTATTAATAATAATAACGAGGGTATGTTTATACTATTTATTATTTAAAAAATAAATTTAACTAAGTACGAGGGTTTATAAAATAGCTATACGCTTAATATTATTATTAATTCGTAATTATAAACTTTATAAAAAAATTAAAAAGATTAAAAATTTTTATAAAAATAGTTTAATAAAATAGTAAAAGTTTTATTAATATTATATATTAGTACTATATAAGCGATATTAAGAACTACTTAAATAGTTAACAAAAATAAAAATCTAAAATATAAAAAAGTATATTATATTATATAATATAATTTTAATCTTAATTTTATTAAAGTCGATATTTTATACTTATAGAGCTAGTATAAGACTATTATATTAAAATATTATTTTCAAAAGTATTAATAAAAAGTAATAAATAAGCGGGCTATTATAAAAAAACTACGCTTTTATTAATAATTACTCTTAATAAATTATTATAATAGTTAAAGGCCTTATTACTTAAATATTCTCATTTATAATTACGTTTAATAAATAATTATAATAATTAGAGGCTATTTTTATAAAGTTTATAATAATAACGTTATATATTATATAATAAACACTTAATATAAAAGCTTAAAAATTATTTCAATAAAACTTTTACTCTTTTTAGCTTCTTTTTCAAGAACGTTTACTATTACGAGGTTTTTAAAGCGGTAGTTATAATTATCGTAATATAAAGTATATATTTAATAATCTTTATATTACCTTATTATTAAAGGTTAGTTCTTAGAGTAGTAAAGTATAATTATAATAGAAGTATTTATATTTTTATTCTGCTTCTATTAATTACCTAAGCAGTTTTTAATATTAGTCATATAATATTAAAATATAATATTAATAAATACTCTTATTATCTTATTAAATTATTTTTAATAATTTTCTTTTATCTTTTAATTTTCTTTTTATAAAGTTTATAACTACGGATTAATAACGATTACGATAGAAGTATATACTAAAATAAAATAATAAAGTGTTTTTATTTTTTATTTTTTAATAATACCGGTTATTTTAATTATATCGTTTGGCTATTTTGACTATGTGCTAGTGCTAGATATTACTTATATAATTTCACTACTAGTCAATTATACCTAGTCAATTATACCTAGTTAATTATACCTATATTAACCATGAATTGCGGTCGTAGAAATTGTTAATTACGCGCGGTCAATTACTCTTAGAGGAAATCGTCCTTTGCGCCCATAAAAATCGTTAATTATAGCGGAGGGAGTTAACAGCGCTGGGTTAGGATTACGCTAGCAGCCGCTGGCAGTGGCACATCATTAAAATAGTGCGACAGCACAATCAAGATAACCGGTCTCTTTCTAATACATATTAAGCCCCCCCCCCCCTAACGGTATTACTGTTCGAATAGCAGTGACTGGAGTGTCCTTATTTAACCATGATCTCCTTCGGGGATCAGCGCTGACTAGAATGGGTGCCCAACTTCTGGTTCTTCCATACCGGAGTCCGAACACCTCTTACTGTCCTTCGGTCTTCTCTGGCTCTTGAGGAGCATCGTCTTGAACACAGCCTTGCTGATCAGAAAGACCGCCGTAAAAGCTTTCCCGGTAAGCGGCGTCCAAGTGACGTTGAAAGTTTGCTTCGACAAATGGCACTTCCGTCTTCTCATATTTGACGTCAGTGAGCGCCTTAATGGCCTCATCAGGTATCGAATCCCATCCGATAAGGGTACGCTCGTAGATTTTGTTCCCGTCGGCACCAGAGAAGGGTGCCATAGCGTTGTCGTGAACTTGCATCCTAGGGTGGGTAGGCATATCGACGCCAACATCGGAGGACTTGAAAGTGATATCGCCAGCGTTGGCAGTGCCCCATGCCAAGTGATCAGTCGTGAATGAAACTCCAACTGGCCAAGCCGAAGTAGTATCATCAACTTCGCATCCCCAACGGTTGATCCATACGACGATGCTGGCCCAGTAGTGGCGATGGCCGTTGTTATCACCCTTTGCCCAGCGGACCTTGGGGAAGTAGTAGCTATACATGATGCCAACCCGGCCTTGACTTACACCACGGCGGGCATACACTTGGCCACCTTGGCCATCACCACAGCCGCTTCTTCCACCGCCAGTTGGTCTCAGGCCAGCACTTCATAAGGGATTAGTGAATGCCATTAAAACACTAGCATCTAGCGACATGTGAGACTTACCCCAGGTTTCCACTGGCATCTACAGCAGGATAGGGGTCGCACCCTCCGGAGACATAGAGATCAGGGTTGAAACGCAGTTCCAACTGGCCCTCTAGTCCCGGAGATGCATTTTGAGAGAATGCGGTGACCTTATCGTGATCAATCCAAGGATGAATGCCTGCATCATCCCCACGAGGTAGTAAGGCGGACAAGACGCCGTCGGAGAGGAGAAGGCAGCCTAAGACGGGCCTGAGTATGTTGGACAACATTTTGCGGAAATTTTGGATTGTTGAAAGATGGTTGAAATCGCAAGTCAGTGCCTTAGGCGATAGGGTCTATACGTTTTGCAAAGAGGGCATCCTGAAATACTTAAGTACTTGCGTATTGTCATACTATGCAGTTGAGGGTATACTGATGCCTTTCGGACTGGCCTTTGACGAAACTTCGTCCTAGACTCGTTTCTCAAACCTTGTCTAGATTATAGAGCATCGTAGTATCCGTACTCAATTCATTTCTATTATTAACCTGACTCATGGGCAATTTCCTCGGACACAGCGGCCTCTGTCAACTGGGGTATCGTAAGTGCCCATGTATGCTTGTTCTCCATGGAGCGTCTCCTGACGGATGTTTTGACCCTTTGATAAAGGTATCCAATCTTCGAAAAGCATGTGCATCATCTACGCACTGGTTCGCCTACTCTCGCCGTCGACAAATATCGGATGCGGTGCTCTCGATGATTGAGTAATGAGTTGTGTGGGCCTATGGGGCTCGCAGTGCGGTGAAGGTTTTCATTGGTGGTGGGTCTCATTAACAGGTCAGTTTGCTGGGGTTGCTGGAGGCACAATGCCACCTGAACGTCTACTTTACAACCCACCTCCATAATTGATGATTTGCTTGTGCCAAGTCTAGGGGTTATCTTGTTTAATGATTACCAGCAAATTTGACTCGTGCAGTTCATGAAGATGCCTTGGCTGAACTTCTGAAGTGCCAACTCTCAGCGACAAAGCTTGAGCCATGAAGATGAAGAAATTGTCTGTCTCTTCTGCCTCATCAATTCTCGTCTATTGTCTAGGAAACGGCCAATAAGACTCGAGCGACTAGCCGTCAACGAGGCGGTTCTGGAAGCTAAAATAAAATAAATAAACTAGAATCAAAATTAGCCAGACGGTGATTTCCGCTTCTTCTAACTTGCGTTTCTGGGCGTTGCGAAAATAACTCCGGAGTGCGTCGCAGTCAACTCCGAGGGATACGACACTAGAACATTTAATACCTTGGAGGATAGCAATTGTGTGTCCATCGAATTCTACGCATCAGTGTTCAGTTCTGATTACTTGCCGTGGTTCTGAGCATTTTCTCGATTCCCTCTATTCTGTCTTGATCTTTTAGTCGGAGACATACGCCCATCATGATTCTTCTCAAGGTCTTTACGATGATCTGGGCTACGGCTATTACGTTGATGGACTGTGTTGACGCAGCTCCCATTGATTCTCGACAGTTTTATGCACGCATGACGATTGGATATCGGACTGTTAGCGCGGTATGTCACCCCATTAATTCATTGACAACGTGATCGAGACCTGATCATTCAAAGGAGCAAGCAAGGCAATACAATCGGGACGGCAGAATCAGCTTTGATGCAGCTAGAGCCTTGGGCAATCAAATCGGCGTCGGCGTGTACACTACACCGGGTCCGGGCCAGTGGCCTGGTAACCCCGGAGACTGGTTTGTTCCCTGATGCAAAGCACATTGCGTGCACTGCCAGATTTCACTAACAACCTTCTCGCAGGTATTGTCAGATAACAGCTCGCAAATCGACCATGAAGAAGATCGATAAACTGTGGATTCCAAGAGAATACTGGTGGAACATCGGCGGAATGTACGACTATGCCGAGTCGAACTTTCCGAGCATTGATCTCGACTACACAATGCGCCTCTCTTTAATCGCTGACTACGAGCATCTGACCCAGCTTCTGATCCCAACTTACTTGCTCTCTGGACATGGCTTGGACTTAAAGGTCACTTGTAAGGAGGATTGGAGAAGTTTGCCTGATACCACAGAGGTGGACTACTACTTCTGGCCCAAGGTCCATGGGACGCCACAGTAGGTTAGACTTAGTGTACTACTTCTGGCCTTCTATAGACTTCTCAAAGAAAGCATAGGCTCTTGTCGGCGTTGAGGAAGTGGCAGATATTTGGTCTTTTTCTTCTCTGCCTTTGCTGATCGCTCGGGCGGGCCTCGGTACTGATACACAGTATTTATGCATGGTATTAGTAGATACACGGTTTCAACAGACTTAATCGAATAGATATGTATATATCTATCATTCTAAAACTTGGCATTTTATAGAATCTACGACCTTTTCTAACTATTTTACTAGTATTTTAACGTGTAGTAGTATTATGATAAATGTTTATGTATTTGGGTAAAAGCTGGGAAACAGCCTATCTAGGGTATATAGTAACTCATAAGGCTTCAAATGCATTTCAAACCAAAATCAACAATAACCTCGGCCTCGTACTCGGCTTTTATGTTGTGATCATCGCTCCATACGCTCGTCATGGATGAGTGACACGTTATACCGCTCTTCGCCACTCCATACCTTGCCCACCGAGTTGCACTGGGCCACCGCCTGTCGCATGTCGGACATCAGTCCGCCAGGGCCACTTGCAAACACCGCCGTTCGCCCATCGACGGTGGCATCGACAAATTCTCGGACAACTGTTGCCAGTTCGGGATGGCGGCGGGTGTTGTTGACGCCTGACTGGTCTATCGCCCGAGCTGATACCTGCACTTGCTTCTCACCCGAACTATTGCCAGTATCAGACGAAGATTCCGACTCTGAGATGTCCCCGGTATCTCCGGAGCGAGAGGAGGCATTGCCGGAGTCGCGTGTGGCAAAGATACGAACCACCACCTTCGGGCCTTGCTCAGCTTCCAAAGCATCAAGCTCGGGTTGCACCCAAGCTACGTCGTTTGTATGTCTCACAACCCAGACTAATTCGAGCTTTCGAGATGCCCCAGAGTGCTTCTTCAGACTCATCAAAACAGGGAGAACGTAGGTGATACCGGTACCACCAGCAACGCACAGAATATTGACGTCCGAGGTGATATTTCTCAGAATTGGGTCGCCGTAAGGTCCAGTCAAGACAACGGGAGTAGTTGGGCCGGCGTTAGCCTTTTCAACAGGACCGGCAGCGAGCTTGCGTGCAGCAATCTGAGCAACCTTCTTCGTCTCACCACCCTTGGCGCGGAAAATGTAGGAATGTTTTGTTTTCCCGCTCACAGTAACAGGGGCGTTGAGGGGCGTGAAGGGATGTGATTGCCAGATGCTACTCTCGCTGAAGCACAAGTAGAAGTGCTGGCCAATCTTCCAGGCATCGTGGGGGTGACTGAAGTCGAGTCGGACAACGTCGCCATTCTCAGGATCGGGGAATACTGTCATAGCCGCCTGCGCAGCAGAGAAGCCCATGCCCTTGCCTTCAATGAAGTTGTGATGCATCAGCGCAGTTCTTACACCACGGGCGAAGCGGTCCATGAACCAGATGACAAGAGCTGGAATCATGAAACACTCCAGGTTCTTCCAGTGACCAATGCAAGCGCCAATGTATAACATGGCAAGCACGTAGTGCGACTTGCGAAAGAATTCGTAGCCGGTCAGACGAATGACCGGGGGCAAGCTGAGGATATATAGGGCCATGAGGAAGAACAAGGCGATGCAGCCCCATATCATGTAGAGCTGGGAGATCCATTCGTTGGCCACCGTGGGCTGAGGCTGATATAGACGGACCTCGATCACAAGCCAGCCGACGGTATGCAGACTGGACTGGACAACGATAATGTAGCCAACCCAGCGGTGAAGAAAGTTGAAGTTTTGATAGGGGATGCCGGTGAGAAGGGAGAGGATTGACTCTCGTGTCGAGAAGAGGACAGACAAAGGTGTAAGGGCGTAGGCAAGTGTTCCGATACGATCAGACCAGGGACCGAGACTGACTCTCGTATTGTAGACGCCTGGCATCTTCTTGACGGGGGTGATCCATGTGTTGTAGACGATACCAACAAAGGAGAAGATCAAGAGATAACCGGACAAAACGGCCAAGATCAGTACCTGCAGGCGGGTTGTTCTACCGAAGATGGGACGGACGCAGTCGGGGAGGAGGTATCGGTTGATTGCGGACGAGGCAGTCTGACGAAGGCGGTTGAGAAAGCTCTTGCTTGCTCTTGTATCCTCGAGGAGAGCAGCTCGAAGGACATCCTCCTCGGAGAGAGACGGCAATGACCGTCGACCAACGGCCCATAACAATAAGATGGCGCCAATAACCGCCCACAAAATACCAACGTATAGCATGCCCAAATCATGAGAGGCGTAGACAACATCCAGATAGGCGCAGGACCCGGCGTCGTTGGTACATGGAAGGGCCCGATCCACGTAGCCCCAGTGAGGCTCTATCGTAGTGGCATCGCTCAAGTTCTGGATGTGGCGGGCCGCCACTTGAGATTTGAGTTGAGAATCCATGGTGTTCTTGGAGGTGCTGTGAGAAGACCAGATGTGAGAGTCGACCGAGGGTCGGGTTGTATCTTTCGACAGCGCTCAGCGCCGTCTTGATACTTCGGTTTTCTGGAGGTAATCTACTTCGAAAGAGATGCGTGTGTGCATGTGGTTGAGATGGTGAATGTAATTATAAGTGCCGTTGAAGTGCCGGTCTCAGTACAACATCGAGGTCATGAGCTTCCCGGGAGCAAAGAATGCTAGATCTTGCGAGATGGACCGAGGATAATGTGAAGAACAACGTAAAAAGAAGTCGGCGGACTGTATGGTAGATGATGAGAGCAGATGTAGGTAAACGGCAGCCAGCGAGGCAGAGACTCTTAAGGGGAGGATGGTATGGCACGGAGGATGGAGTGTACCGGTAGTATCATCATTCGAGAAGAAGAAACGGGACCGGGCGGGATTTGAGAAGGTTTCCGGGACGTCTTTACGGCGGGTTATGGGGTTTGCGAAAGTGGCTAGTTAATCTAGGGGTCTTGGTAATGTTTCCGGGTTTGGAGCGGCTCCGCGATGTTTGGAGCCGGAAGGAGGGCAATGGGGCCACTGGTGTCACTCTTAAAGAGAACCCCCATATTGAAACCCGCTTATACAGTTGCTTTTTGAGCAAGTTTCTGTGTCATCAAGAATGGCTGCGCTGAGTCTGGCCAAGGCAACAATTACTCCCCGGTTCTGGAGAGCGATGGGAGGGGCTGGCCAGGTTGGAGATCTGCTTTTCGCAAAAGGAACCAGGGTTCTTGGTTTTGTTTCTAGAGCACATTAGCGGGGAATGAGCCGGAACTGTGAACGTCTGGAGACCTCATAGCGAAAGGGCTCTTTAGAAAGTGGCAGAATGGCCATGTGGACTAGGAGAATCGAGGGATCAAATGCTCAGTGAGGTAGTATTCTATGAACAAAATGGGCAACATAAGCCGGGTGAAAGTCAGCGATAGTGCCGTGAAGATGTTGTAAAACACGGAAACCATGATCGTGTGGTGGAAGAGGAGTGAGCAAGTTGAGCATCTTTGAGCAAGTTTCTGTTGGAAAGTGGACCCGAGCCGGGGTCTCGCGTGGGAACCGAACTACGAGATCCACCGTGGCGTGTGGGGCCGGGCTGCAGGAGCGGCGCGGCTCTCGGGACCGTCAAGGTTCTTCCTGCCATGTTTCCCCTCATCCCGAACTACCACCAGTCATCTCACCAACATCTCTTGATGCTGTGAAGGATCATCTCCAACTTGTCCAAGCCATTGCCTATTTTGGCGTCGAGTCGTTGTTCCCAGCAGGACGGACAAACCTCAATAAGGTATGTTCTAGGGCTGGCTCAGCAGGCTGAACGCTCACCCGAGATGATTTCAGCGGAACCTGAAAAACGGGAGACCCGCCCTTGGGTCGGGTGGCTTTTGCGATGACGGTCAAGTTGTCAACTGAACGCCGAAAGCGTTATGGACATAATGGGTAACACCCGAGATATCTTATTGTGCAACCCAAGAGAAAACTCAAACCATTTCACTCAAGATTCCCTTGAAGGGTTTGCGTTGATTGTTTTCAGCAAGTATCGTTGTCAAAGACATTGTATCGAGTCGCATATTGCAATGGCCTGTCGACTTTAATCTGACTTGATCCGGTGGCAAAAAGATTGGAGTCATTTTCGGAAAGACACATTCGCAGTCTGTTGCTATCCAGCAGCTTTAGGTAAGACCAGGTAGGTTGCTAATGATGTCCTTTCCCTCTCGGTTTCCCTTGGCAAACACTGAGGCCAGATTAGCGTGAGCAAGATAGAGGGTCTGCTGTCGTAATACGGATACACACCAACTATTCAAAGCCCAACCTTTCCATATCAACGTAACATCCTTTCGGTTGACTAAGCCAACATGAGTGGAACCCTTCGAATCGTCCACAGCGAAAACAGACGGTCCTAAAGTCCTTACTCAATCACCCCATGCTCGTGTCCCATGCCGACCCCTCTTGAAACTTGCGCAGCACCACCTTTGCCGTTGACTGACCAGGATCTGCCAGCCATATCTGCGCTAACCCATAAGTAGTGACATCCCCCTCCACATACCTTCTTTGCCCTCTATGTATTTGCGTTATGTTTGCCATTTCTCTCTCTTCTCCGGGTCCCTGTCACTTCTACAATCCTGCAATGCTCGGCCCGTGCTGACCCTGTACCTGTGGGACGTTCCTTCAACTCTCTCATATCCACCCAACACCGATCCAGCCTCCAGGCCTACTCCGGGTCTTGACCCCGTATAGATATCGAGCGATTCCGGCGCGAGCGGCCTGCGGGGTGTCTGCTGAAGTTCTTTCTACATACGTCTTCGAGCGCTCTACTTCACTCCAACGGTCTCAACCCGAACCAGTCCTCATTACCATTTGCATCGCATCTCTGCTCAATCGCCCTCGTCAACGAACCTCTCCATCGACCGCTTCAACAAATTGTATACCATTCCGTCCAATCGTACCTGCGACGCCTCACCTATATCGACTTTGCTACTTTGGATAGCTTCATTCAACGCCAGGCTTCCCTGCACTTGGTCGCTCAACCCTGTCTCTTCTCCCTTCGCATACAAGCTTCTGGCTTGCCAAATTAGCCCATTATGGACCACAGTTCGATGGCCAGCTCAACGGACTGCAAGATGTCGGTATGCTACTGTCCCCGGCCTCCGAGTACATGTGCTCATCTAACATAACGACTAGATGTTGTGGAACTGGTATACCATTGACGCATGTAAGTACAATGAGAGTATCTTCTCGAGGCACAGTGCAGCATTGTGCTGTAAGCCCACACATGCGGAAAACAAGCTAACGAGCCGATGCGATAGGTTTCCTCGCGTCTTCATGGCAGATCAAGAACGCCGGCATGTTCGCCGCTAGCTGCATCGGTGTCGGTCTGCTCACCGTCTGCCTCGAAGTATTCCGACGACTCGGAAAAGAATACGACGCCCTCATCCAGCGCCAATTCCAAGCCCGTGCCGCCGAATTACAGGCTCGTATACCCAAGGAGACGGACTGCTGCGAACCTCCCGCCGTTGTCGCTCCTCAGACGCTTGTCTTTCGTGCATCGCCGCTCCAGCAGCTTATCCGATCTGTAATTCACGCCGCGACTTTTGGATTGGCATACATCGTCATGCTGCTGGCCATGTACTACAATGGCTACCTCATCATTTCCATCATAATTGGCGCTGGCTTGGGCAAATTCCTTTGCGACTGGCTTGTTGTTCGTGTCACTCTAGAGGCTCTCGCACCAGCAGCTCCCAATAACATTGTTGGAATTGAGGAGCCAAGTGTCTGCTGCGGTTGAGAGGATGGTGACCCAGTTGAATTAGCATTCTGATTTTACAACGAGCGTTTGGAAAAGCGTCTTATGACGGGGCGTTGGTGGTGCAGTATGTCTGCTATTTGTCGCATGAGGTTCAATCTTCCTCGGTCTGGTAGCAATTTGCAAGGTGCCCAATCTTCGTGCACATAATGAATAAATACCCCTTGTCTCTTGTGTTCGCTCTTCTATTCGTTCTGCTACTTCTCGGTTCATCGTGGCAGACCATAAAGTTGCCTCTTCCTGCGGTTATGAATCTAGTCACTGCTCTCATATCCGGAACAAATCTTGGCAGAAGGCAAACCCCTTATCTAGTCCTTCAAAAGGCTGCATTGTTATGGTTTCGCAGATCTATTTGAAATGCTCCTTGCTGCCTGTCCGCAGCAGTGGTTCAGTGAGTCTGTATCTGTGATAATCGCCGACCACTGACTGACGATAGTTTCAACCTATCACACATTTGATATGGCCACATCGTAGACCCAAGCAGCTGCTACATCACCATTGTCATAGTCATACCATAGGCTATGCATGCCTCCGAGATCAACTCTAAGCTAGCGATCCGAAACAGCGAGCTTGATCACTGGGACCATTTCCATTGTGCTTAGAGAGTTTTCCCTATGGCCCATAGCAGTATGTACATACGGTGGTGGTCAGAGGGGTTAGCCAGATCATCAAGCTTGATGACGTCTCGCGTGTACTTCCGTTACATCGTGATCCTCACTTGTCTTTGGAAGAACATTTTTTGAGTGGTTATACCAATGCTTAAAGACAATGCACCAAAGAGTATCGTCATACTCCTCATTACTGTAGATTACCTGGATTCATATGGCGTTCGTTTTAGTTGCGGGCAATACTCTGCCATACGTCCTCTCACATATACAGGTTTATAGAAATGGATTGGATTCTACCATCATTCTCGGCACACACCTGAATAGCTGATTAGTCGCACAGCATTCAGCTGGGGTCGGTGTGTCCATGGCGGCTAGCGCTGCCTGCTACCTCATGCGAGAATGGTCCGCCGGGACGCGGCCTGCGATGCAGGACGTGGGTCAAACATGGACACAGAATAACGTTCAAAACTAGGTGGCAGTGCTCCAAGTCATCCTCTTTTTCTCATTATTGTCTTCTGAGACATCGTCCACAAGCCACTAACTCCTTGTTCATCCTTATCTTCCTCACTACCATGATAGCCCTAGTTTTCTTTTCCACTCACGCTCATCCTTCCGCGAAGTCCATCATGATCATACAAGCCTCCAAATGCCATTTCCAAACCAAAGTCCGCTAAGTCGAATGCAAACGTGGGAGATTTTGCTAAGCTCCTACGTGGATGATGCCCCCAATAAACCCGGTGAGGTAGCACCCACGCTCAGGACGCTATCCGCGAATGTCTCCTCGTCGTGGCACTACTACCCCGCTCATGAAAGAAATTTGGCACCCTCCTGCTTGAAGAGCCAATCGCTGTTGGCATCAACCATGAAATTCGTAATGTTGAACTCGTTGCCCGGGGCTGGTGGCGCATTGGATCCGCCATTTTCACTACTGGCATCCATGCCCGACGTGGTCCCGTTCTGCCCGTTACTGCCGCTCATGCCATGCTGAATCTCGTTGCCAGCGGGTAGACGTGGCACGTTGAAAAAGTCGAATACGTCCAGGTACTCGAGCTCATTTGGTGCTGGTGTTCTAGCTGGTGTGACGCTGGGAAGCCGACTGTGATTTGGCATACCGTTGGCACGGGGCTGACGGGATATCAAGAAGTCGAGGTCAAACGCTGTGCGACGCATGTCGGCTAGTATCTTGACTGAACTGGGCGTGACACCATCCCCTTGACGCTCACTGTCGCGATGTTCATCCAGAACACGTTGCAAGAGACCGCAGTATCGCGCAGCTACAGGCCAGTAGCGTCCCATTTCGCGTAGTGTCTCGACAAAGAATTGAATCTGAGGCGAGAGCTTGTGCTCGACGGTAGACCCATGGACGAGTAACAGACGCGAGGCTACCCACAAGGTAAATGCGAAGGGAGGGCCTAGCTTTGCCAAAAGACCGTTGTTGACGACGAATTCGCCCAGCGCAGCAATGTTCTCGACGGCCCCGTGACAGCGCTGCGAGGCACTGTATGAAGGGGTGAAAATTGGCGAACGAGTTGTCGGGTACGCCGCCGATGAATGCAGTCGGATCACAGCCGTGTGGTATGTTGCATGCAGCATCACCCAGCCGCAGTTCAGCGTCTTATTACCGGGCTGGAATAACTTGGCCATATTGCCATACTCCCCAGGAAGGCCGAACTTCCAGGATGTAAGCATGTTGTCGAGCTCCTTGTATCGCATCTGCCATTGCTCCACGTCGCTGAGAGCACTGATGTCGACAGGTTGTTTCAAGAATTTGTGAATCTTGGACAGTATTGCCAAGATCTCTATGTAATACGAGAAAGCACCGAGGTTCTCTGGCTTATTGATCTCGTATTCGGGATTCGTGTCCTCAGGATGGTCCTGGGTCCTGAACCATCGAGTTTCGACTTTTTGATTCTTGATCCATAGATCATCTCGGCACGGTAGGGTCCGGTCGACTTCCTTGTCATCCAGAGCAAATTCGAAGGCAGTGGCTAGAGTAGCATACCGATCGAGAAGGTAAATCATCCAAAAGAGCCGCCGCCTAGATTCCTCCTCGATGAAGTCCTTGGGTTCTGGTAAAATCATGGCCCTCAGTGTATAAATGGAGGTAAAATTTGGCGAGACTGAAAAGGAAGTGCTCTCAACGGCCAGCCCAAGCTGAACAACCGACCTAGTGATTAGAGCCATAATGTTCCAACCAGGGGGGCCATTGCTGCTGCCGACGAGATCCAGAGCAAGGATTACTAAGGCTTGAAGGGCCTTAACCGAGGAATTCTCCATGCCATACAGCAAGACCCTCTGCTTCGATATGGAATGGTAATGCTGCCGACTTTCCTCGGTCAGTCTTGAGTCAGTAGAGTATCGGAGTGTTGTGGCAACAATGGCATGAAGCAGAATACGATCTGTCTCTTCGAGTGTGGATGGGCCAAACAAAGAATCCAGGGTCGTCTTCCGATGAAGAATAGGACACCAGGTGTTGATGTGCTTGAAGTAAAGATCGACGAGGGCATAAAGCAGGTCGTAGGGCGGTAGCTCCTGGTCAGGTGCCGTTGACGTCTGACTTTGTGCCATGGCAACATCTGGAGAGTGTAATTGCGTTTGATTTGTGCCGTAATATTCCTGTGCCGCACTGCTAGGGTGTGACATGGCAGTGATATGGCTTGGGGGTGCAGCCATGCTGGTCATGGGCATTTGACCTTGAAACTCGTGCATGGATGGGGTGGGAGGCGGCATTCCGAACTCCATAGATTGTGAAGTTGAGGGGTAAGATGATGGTTTCTGAAGGAAGAGAGCCGTTTCCGCCTGCGGCGTTCGATGGGATTCAGATGGCCTAAACAAGGCATTGGTCTCTCGTGGTGTGCCATGATCACTCGGCAGACTTGGGTTGCTATTCCGAATGCTTGGGGCTACGCCGTGGTGGTGATTGGATGTCAGAGTCGCCTGGAGAATCTCGGAGTGAGTTCTGAGTATCTCCTCGAGCTTGTCTAATCGCTGCTCTAGCTCGCGGCCGTAGCCAGCACGGAGGCCGGGCTTCTTGCGCTCCTTGTACTCACACAAGGCTCCATTGCGGCTGCACCAGCCGCAGGAGGGCTGTCCTCGGTCACATTTCACCTACTCAGTCGAGGCGAGTCAGCCACAGATTCCAGGTTTAGAGCTAAGCAGGTCATCTGAGGCGTAAGAGGAGAAGAACAAAGAGGATGTCCCTGAGAGTAGTTCGTGACTTCTCGGCTTGTGAACGAGTTGCGCATGACACAATGATAGGGTATTACGGGAAATTGAGATGCAGTTAGAAAGGAAGAGAAAGAGACGGAAAAAGAAAAGGGATTTGGTATAACCTTTCTCTGCTTGCATAGCTCGCATCTTGGAGTTGGATTGTTAGCTTCAGGGTTCTGCTCGGAAGGCACGGGTTCAGGCGATGGTGGTTCGAGGGACATGGGGGCAAAGCCCAAAGAGGGCAACTAAAGACAAGAAACTGGGCAAAGGGGAGGTAGAGAGGCAGGTGGGCGAGTAAGTGGATAGAGGGAGCAAGGCACCCAAGCAGCCGGATTTGATACGAGTTGAGATGAGTGAGGCGTGATAGGGTTGAGTGAGAGTGAGCGGCATGGCATGGGGTGAGAGGTAAGGTGAGGTGAGCTAGGACGGGGAACGACATACGAGACAGATATGGGTCTCTTGCGCTTCCCAAGGCGGGTGACATCCTGATCGTCTTGGTCAAGATCATTTTCGTCTCCGCTTTGCAGCTGGTTGCCTTCGTCAGAGTCCTGGTCCTGGCTATGAGTCTGATTTTGGTCATGGCTCTGGCTACGGTTGTGCTGAATCGATTTGATGTTAGCTGCAGGCGGTGACCGGCTGCTGAGGGAGTGGCCGTTGTGCTGCATCCTCGGTGTGGCAGTCTCCGAGCAATGGCTGGCGGAAGGGTAAAACAAGGCCGAGAGATGTGTATCTGAAGAGCAAGTGTGACGCAGGCACGGAGCCGAATGGTTGGGTAAGGCGGGCGCGCACACACACACACACGGATAGAAGGCGAACGCGTAGGCGTGCGTATGAGTTGGAGTCGCAGGCGTTTGTGCGAGATTCCAACGCGCGGATTCGGGAGAAGCTTGGGAATCTCGGGTTAATGTTGAGCAGAGGGTGGGAGAAAAAAAAAGGGCACCGGAGGCTGGGGTCGGGAAAGAAGAGGCTCGGGGTATTTTTTTTGTGTTTTTTTTTCTGTCCCACACGTGCCACACCCCAATGAGAGTCCAGACTGTTGGACAGACACCAAGAAGGACTGCACGAGACAAAGAACGACAAGGAAGGGGGCGGGGAAGCAAGTTCGGGGGAGGGGAAGGAAGCGGAGGTAGAGAGGATAAGCTGGAAATACGTGACTGGGATGGGATTTAATTGGACTGGAAGAGATGGGGAAAGAGGGATGGGCCTGACGAGCTGAGCATACTGTCCCAATGGGCTAAAGGAATACCTTACCTTACCGTGCTTACCCAAGGTGCGTGTAGACTTATAAAGTCTTGGCTACCCTGGACAGATAAATGGATACTACCTAGGTGCTGCCTCGCAACTGGAAAGCTCAATGTAGAACACGGAGTTTGGTACCTAGTAGTCGTTTTTGTCTTTGGTCTGCTTTCGTCTTGGTTTCTGTACGCGTGGGCTGCGGGAACAGAGCACAACAACAAGCACGTTCGTAGGTACTTGGTATCACCCGGGAATGATACCTTAGAAGGGCCCAGGAACGTCAGGCGACGCGATTCCGTGCTAGAGTGTCCTTGTGAGAGAGCGTTCGCCCTTTACAGCTCAGCAAATTGACGATCACTAAAATATCAGGCGCGAGAGAAGATCAGAAAGAACGCGGGGTGAAGCGACAGGCAGAGAGCGAATGTTGCCGGCGTTTGGCGGCGGCCGAATCGAAAATGGATTGTGTGGGGAAGAAGAAGGAAGCAGGCACGCACGCACCGGTGCCCGCACCACTGCCCGCACGAGGGCGAGGAAAATGCGGAGAAATCGCTGACAGATTGGCACCTTCCGAGGCTCAACGAGGTGCCCCGTCCTTGGGACCCTTTCATCCAATGAATCCCTTGGGGCTGGAAAGTGCGGGATGGATTAGCCTCTTTCATTGGATAAGGTATCCCGCACCCAGCCACATGCACACTCCAAAGTGTGGAGGTGGCTGTGGTCCCAGACATCGGTACGTACATTGGATAATGTGAGATGGTCACCGTGGCGCGCCGCAGAAGAAATTTTGTCAATGTGACTACCTACCACAGACGAACAAATAAACAACACTCAGTCTTATGTTCTGTACTGCCTCGGATTCCATCCATACAGTATCAGTCATGTCAGGTTCACTATCCTGCGTCAGTGAACAGCCCCTTCAGTTATCATTCATCTTCCAGGTGCCACGCTCTCTCTGCTCACTACTCGATTATGTTGGCTCTCACTGTTGGCCTACCTCCGACCTTAGGTAAGGTGCCTTATGTAACGTGCCTCGGAGGAAGATATCTTGAGAGGAACAAAGCAAGATGGAATGAGACAGAGGAATTTGGACTAGAAAGCGTGCGATGCCTCGGACCAGCAAGAGTAGGACCCACATCGGGCAATTCGGTGCAGTCCTCGGGCAAAGATATCCCACGTCTCCGAAGTCGCCCGTGACCAGCGGTGGGTACTTGGAAAGAGGAACCGCGTGCAGTTCGATACTGTTGGGATACAGCTTGACCGAGTCACGAACTTCACCACCGTACAACCTAGGTACCGACAAAATAGAGACGACAGAGGGAAAATTAAACATTCAAGAGTCAAGATAGCCATCATGGCATTGTTTGCGTACCGACCTTCTATTGGACCATACGCTTGCTAGCCCATGGTACAAGGTAATGTGCCACAAGCCTTCGCAGCTACGGCCTCTCCCGTCCCGAGCAACCGGGATTGGGCGCTTCACCACCGCCTCAAAAGTCAATTACTGAGTACCTATGTTTGTGCGGATACACTCAACTATGGGACTGGATTGGCCTGCTCGTTGCCCGTAGTCGAGAGAGATACTCCCCCCGTGCCCCCACGGTAATCTTGTCCATCATCATGCGCCCTCTCACACAACCAACACACACACCCTCAACTCATTGACGACTCAATGACTGCAGCAATGCTTGCAGCAGACACTTGGCCTAGCCAGTCCAACGCCCAGAATTGTCCGATTGGCCCTGTGCCCTCGTGTCATCGGTTCTGGCTGGAGACTAAGCGAGAAGCCATTGTTGAGTTGAGATGTAATCTACGCACGATTTTCCCTCTTGGTGCTGTGTGTGTATGAAGCATTGATCATCGTAGCTGGTGCACAATAAACGTGCCCAAGTGCCCATCCACTGTTTCATGGCCCTCGAACACCCGTATAGTTTCGTCTCACGGTGTTTCTTACTTCGCCTTGAACTATTCACAACTCTGAAAGCCTCAGGGAAAAGCCATGTCAATGACACCCGACATCCGAGGCCGGCAGATGGGGATTGGATGAGGGGGAGGGGTCCTTTCCCGTAACCCACTGCCTTGCCCCTGTTTCCGCCTGTCGGTGCATCTGCTGCCGATCTCCAAAACCTTCCCGTCCACCACCGTCCACCACAATGGCACAAATCAGTCTGGCTCCGAGCCGACTCGTGTCGAATCTGCTGTGTCTAGACCCCACTAACGTGGACTTTCGTCCGATTCGGTCGCCATGGCTCCTCTGCTCCTGTCCTGTTCACTGCGCTCACATGTCTTGGAATCCTGGCGACAAGTAGTCTTCCGTCCCTCTTAAAAGACGCCCACGAACCCAATCCCCCTCCGTTCCCCCTCACTTGCTCTCTCCATCATCATACCGTGTCTCACCTGCGCATTCTCAAAGGTCCCCTCTTTCCTCCCCTCCCTTGCTCACTACACTGGCAGACGCGGATTCTGGAGGCAACACAATGGCGTCCGTGAGATCTTTCCCCTCCATCAAGGAGATTCGGACGTTTGTCATTGGCGGCGTTGGTTCCGGCGGTGATTACCACAATGTCAAGGGTGGCCACTGGTACGTTTGTAGTGCTGCTCTGAATGAGTCTCGTCACACATAGAACGGCATGAGTTAACAACGCAATAAACAGGCTGATTGACAGCCCCATTTCCACTCCCTGTTCGCGATGGGAGCAGTACCGTAACTCAAGAACTAGCTGGGGCATCAACGTCCTGGGCTCATTCCTCATCGAGATCGAAGCGACAGACGGCACTGTCGGCATTGCTACTGGCTTTGGAGGTGCGTAGTCTCGAACATAATACGAGAGAATATGGCCGAGGAAGACTTTGCTGACCAAATCCCGCGCAGGTCCTCCGGCGTGTTGGCTCGTCCACCAGCACTTTGAGCGTTTCCTCATCGGCGCTGATCCCCGAAACACAAACTTGCTCTTTGAGCAGATGTACAGAGGCTCCATGTTCTATGGCCGAAAGGGTCTTCCTCTTGCCGTCATCTCTGTCATCGATCTCGCCATCTGGGATTTGCTTGGCAAGTTGAGAAATGAGCCTGTATACAGGCTTATTGGTGGTGCCACCAAGGAGCGCCTGGACTTCTACTGCACTGGCCCCGAACCGTCGGCGGCCAAGACGATGGGCTTCTGGGGCGGCAAGGTCCCTCTTCCGTACTGCCCAGAGGACGGCCACGCCGGCCTGAAGAAGAACGTCGAGTTCCTCCGCAAGCACCGCGAAAGCGTTGGACCCGATTTCCCCATCATGGTGGACTGCTACATGAGTCTCAATGTGCCTTACACAATCGAGATTGTCAAGGCCTGTGAGGACCTCAACATCAACTGGTGGGAGGAGTGTCTGTCGCCCGATGACACGGACGGCTTCGAGCAGATTAAGCGCGCGCACCCCACCATCAAGTTCACCACTGGCGAGCACGAGTACTCTCGATTCGGATTCCGCAAGCTCATTGAGGGACGCAACTTGGATATTATCCAGCCCGACGTCATGTGGCTCGGTGGCCTCACGGAACTGCTCAAGGTCTCTGCCATGGCCTCAGCATACGACATCCCTGTCGTGCCTCACGCCAGTGGCCCTTACAGCTACCACTTTGTCATTTCGCAGCCGAACACGCCCTTCCAGGAGTACCTCGCCAACTCGCCCGACGGCAAGAGCGTTCTGCCCGTTTTCGGAGACCTGTTCCTCGACGAGCCCATCCCGACAAAGGGCTTCCTGACGACGGCCGATCTTGACAAGCCCGGCTTCGGTCTGACGCTCAACCCCGCCGTCAGGTCAAAACTGATCTCGGGCAAGGCCCTGTTGAATGCTAGCCCCGTAAGTGGACAGAAAGTCGCAAATCATTGTGTTATCAGATGTGCTAACAACTGCGTAGGAGAGGCCCCTCAAGTCAGTGGAGGAGACGGAGGCGAAATAAACAGCAACTTTATGCATGATGTTGCGGCCAGATTTAAAGGCCTGTGACATCGTCGAAGTAAAATAGCATGTCACTTGCACGGCTATTGGAAATACTTAGACCGGGGCGGTTGGGTTCAACTATGTAGCGGTGTTGAACATGACTTATTGGCGCAATGTACATGGCGAATTAGCTGGTATGCTTAGCTACTACGTAAAATAGATTTATGACAACGTTTACAGCAGCTACATGGAATGTTTGGTGACCATCACGAACTGGACTCGTTGTCTTTGTAACCAAGGCTTAGGATGCCATAGCATTATCATTGATCACCTGACGGCGGCAGAGAAACCCTCGGGATTACTCGTACTATGCATCAGAATCAAAGGCTTCGACTTGATCTGTGGCGATGGATTTGATCCTCGCGGAGCCGTGCGCGACATACGCGGAGGGTGGGGGTTCCATGTTTAGCTTGACCTACAATTCCCATCCTCAATGTGTATCATTAGAACAAAGTAACCAGTCGGAGGGCAGTGAGGGCGGAGTGACGGGATTGCGAACACCACAGAGGAAACATTGTCCATGGCAAGAGCATGAAGCATCTCAGGTGGGATGGATACGCAATATGGTCAACATGGTGGTTGGTGGGGTGAGGCTCGCTATAATTGTGACCGAGAGTGCGGGGTGGGAAGTGGGATGCCCACAAGTCATGGGGAATTCCGAATAAAAAGGGTACGGAGTACCGACGCGTGCCACGGTCCCACGCAGGTCATGGAAGGGGTCTGTCATCGGTAGCTGCCCCGGGGTCACGAATGAACACGTACAAGCAGCCTTCCTTACCTAAGGTCCCCCGACTCTCACCCCCCGAGTAAGTAGGTATCGTGGGACTCGGAAGGCACCTGCAGCGGGCGGCAGTCGTGGCTCGGTCATCGGGTCTCACTTGAGCCGCCCTCGCTGCACAATAACCCCCCCTTCCGTCCTCACAGCCTGTCCCGCCTCCTCCGCACCAACCAGAATTCCTTCGGGCATGTATCGTCAACTACAAATATAGACTTGCCAACCACCCGTCCTCACGCACGAGCACAAGCGAAGCCTACCACGGATTTACAGACGAACACGATCACTCGCTAATCGGTTGCCATCTATCGCCAATCGTCCACCATTTGATCCTTTCTTTGGCTGATCCAAATACCAGGATCTGATTCGACGCCGTGCCGTCCAAGACAACCCCGCACACGACCTCATTTCGACATCCTATATATCGACGACAGCCTTCCTTTTCAATAAAGCTTGCTATTTTTTTCACATAGTGCACCATGGCCCCGACGAACTTGCTTGCTGGCAAGACTGCCATCATCACGGGCGGCACCACTGGCATTGGAAAGGCTATTGCGTTGGAATACATAAAGCAGGGTGCCAACGTTGTCGTAAACCATTTGGGTCTTGAAAAGGACCAACCCCACCTTGATGCTCTCGTTGCCGACGCCGCTGCTGCAAAGCAAGAGAACCCCAACGCGGGTCGTCTGGCCGATATAATTGGCGATGTTCGCGAGCCCGAGACGGCAGCAAAGTTGGTAGCGCGTGCCGTCGAGCATTCCGGCAACGCCCGTCTAGACATTTGCGTCTCCAATGCTGGCATCTGCACGTTCGCCGAGTTTCTCGAGCTGACTCCGGACCTGTTCACCAAGACAGTCCGTACCAACCTCGACGGCGCCTTCTATGTCGTACAAGCAGCCGCTCGCCAAATGAGCCAGCAATCGCCCGCCGGTGGTAGCATTATTGGCATCTCGTCCATCTCCGCCCTCGTCGGTGGCGGCCAGCAGACCCATTACACCCCAACCAAGGCCGGTGTACTCAGCCTCATGCAGAGCACTGCCGTTGCCCTAGGAAAGTACAATATTCGCTGCAATGCTCTGCTCCCCGGTACGATCAAGACACAGCTCAACGAGGAGGACCTGGCCGACGATGCTAAGCGAGCCTACACGGAGGGCCGCATTCCTCTGGGCCGCACCGGCGTGCCGTCCGATCTCGCCGGGCCCGCCGTCTTCCTAGCCTGCGAATACCTCAGTGGTTATGTGACTGGCGCGCAGTTGCTGGTCGACGGCGGCCTCTTTGTTAATCTTCAATAAAGCGCTCTCAGCCTATCACGCTCGGTTTTGCTATGTTTAGTTTAAAGTGCTTTGGTATCGGGGTATCCCGCCTATTGGCCGAGTAGCAGATAGAATGCTGGCCCATGGAGGATTCAAAAGTACGACGGGATGAGGGATTTATGGGAGCACGGAGGGGAAAAGAAAAAGACACAGTTGCAAAGACCGCCTAATTTTCCAACCGGCGCGTTCAAGCACCGTAGGATGAAACAAAAGTCCAAGGATTGAGGAATGTATGATTGATTATTAGCAAGTGAGCGGTATTCCTTGAATCCACTTGCGTGCTCATGTTGGCCAGTCACGCCAATCCGTTGATTTCCTTATCCTCTTATTACTGGGCAAGGATCAGGCCTCCGTATGCAAGCCAATGCCCCCTTCTGCCCATCCCTCATACTTGTCGTTTGTCTGCTTTTTGTTTGAACGAAATGTGGTTCCGGTCTCCAATTTCGCCGTCTTTGATGGTTTTCCAACTGTCCAAGCGAGGGCAACGGACGAATAAGACGGCCTTGATAGGTGCACTCGACTGGCTGAACGAGTGACGGACTCCATCCCTACATACATACAGAATGGATACGGACAGGGGCAGGGGTGTCTGCATGGAGTCTGGTCAACGGTGACGGCATCACAATGCGACTGACGAGTAGCGTGTATGGCGGCAGCGGGACGCGACAGTAATAGCGCCGGGCTGAAGCCTGGTTTACGCTTGATTGATCGTGGGTGGGCGTTCTCCTCCGGCTCGGCAACGCTGGATGATGGCGTCGTTGTGCAGCAAGGGGAAAGAAAAAAAAATGGTGACGGGAGGCCGGCGGCAAAGGAAGCAGAGGCCCGCGACGGGAAATGGGCATTCACCGGTACAACCGCAAATCTCGGGAGTGTTCGGTGAAGCGTGTAATACGGCAGGACGGGTATCGAGTTGTTGAGCAACTGCTCTTATAGTACATTATTATCTCGAACCCTCTTCATGCTACGAATACACCAAGATTCACGTCTCTTCACTATATACACTGCCCGTGTCCATGCCATACCCAATTCTCCGCTCGAGGAACGTCGAGATCAACCGTCGGTCACAGAATAATGAAACCCCCGGACTTGTTTTGAGGAACAGGCCACAAAATACACATGTTGTGAGCGGGTACGGCATAAGTGGATGGTCTGGAGATGCGTGGTTTCTTTGGTATCAATGTTCTGGACCTGGTGATGTTTTGTGGCCCTGTTCACGCAACTACCCTGAATACAGTCGTACTCAGTCTGGACTCTGCGCACATAGTGTGTTCGTACTTTGAGATGGAGAAGGGAAAGATGGACGTCATTCGCCGAGTCATGAACCAACCTAGAATAGTATCTAAGCGCTCTTTCGGGGCGATGACACAAGTGATGAGCGTCGAAGTGGCCTTTTTGAAGCTGAAGAGAAAAGTCAGCAACAGAAGAGTTTTTTTTTCTCCCCCCCCCGCCTTCGTCTTCGCCTTTCCGCGATTACTTTTCCTCTCTTTTCTTTCAATGTCCCAATTAGTAAATGATGGTGAGACAAGCGCAAACATGCAGGACCGGTGTCGAACGGCCAAGGGACCGAGGGGTTTCCGGACCCGATGCCGCTGGATGCCCGGTTCTTTGCCATAAGGGGGGGGGGGGGTACTGGAAGGGCTCTATTACCTAAGCCGTTGGAAGAGGCGACTGCCACTTCGGGCCGTCTAGCGGAGCCTCTCGCCATGATGACGACCAATAAGATGTAGCCATCCGAGCCACGGGCGTTCTCATCGCAATCCTTGCCGTCGCGACCCCGGGACCCACTTGTGGTGACGTCACTACGGGGTCTCCGTAGCCCGCTTTATGGAACCCGCTGGGCCACCACACAGGCAAATTCCTTGATACATCTCTCACCTCATGGTGCAAGTGCATTCTCGCATTTGTGGACCACCACCGGCGCTATCACGACTTCCTGCGGGCACCATCCCTGTGTCAGCCTGCCGTATCGTAAGGAGTCGTCGATAAGGAGTAGGCACACGCCCAATGGGAGTCATGGAGGGGTCTTCGAGGAGGCGGGCGAAGGAGGGGCAGAGATTGCGCCGGCGCTGCTTTATTTGATGCTGAAGACAAGAAGCCGATGAGACCGACTGAGTTAGGCATGGTCTGCTTCACGGACTACCTTACGAAGTACCTTTTCGTGCCATTATACGGATAAAGGTACTCGACATACGAAACGCCGCATGGTATCTACCTTTCCCCCCTTTTGACGTCCTTGGTCCTGGTCCGAATTACCTACCAAGGTCCCTTGTGACAAGGCCGAGTTGCCCTGAAGTTCCCCTGGCTTATCCTTCCATGTTTGGGCTTCACTTTGCGCTGGCGACAGACGTAGATGATGGATCCAAGAAGCTGCTGCTGGCTGCATGACAGAGATAGATACCGGTACATGCCCGAACGAAAAAGTGAGAGAAATTGAACACACCAAATAGCCTTTGTGCATGCTGTAATAAGCCTCTGCATTTTGCCTCAGGGTCCAACGGCTGGCCGTGACGGCGGCTCGCATGTGCTTCGTCGTCGCGCCAAGGCCGCCTCGGGTAAGGGTCGATCGCTGCCGCATCGGTACCCAGATCATCATCATTGCTCGGGGCATTTCGAGGCCCCTAACCATATGCCTTGCGCGACACACGGCGGAATCTTTTGCAGCCGCAACGAGGAACCCGAAAAGCCAAGTCTCCACCATGACGGTTGGCAAGATGGATCCCTCTTCTGCCTATGGAGCCTCCTAAACATGCTTTTTGCCCTTCTCTTGTTGGCGGCTCGCTGGGTTACTCGCCCGTTTTGTGACTTGCACTCCGTCTGTACTTTGTACTTTGGATCTATCTGTCTTGGTCAAAACCCGTAGGAGCCAGGAACAATGTTCCTTAGACTGACTACAAGTCTGCTCTGGCGGTGAGATGGAGGAACCTTTAGTGCCACACAAGTTTTCTCCCTCTTGGCAAGTAGCCGCATCCCGGTCCGTTTCCCTTTGGCGGTACCCTTGTGTACGGAAGTACGTCGACTGCAGCATTGCTGCTCGCAACAAAGGGCAGTGTCTTTATCCTCTTCTGTGTCGTAATCATAACATTTCACCACCAGGTAAGGTCCTTGTGTGTACAGAGTGGAGCAAGGCTCCTCTCCTGGTCTTGGATCCAAAAAAACTTCTCATGCTACTTCGCCTCCACGGTATCCACGACCATGCACGACTCAAGAAACTCATCCCAAGGGTGTCACTGAGCAAGGACCCGCGTTTGCCTGGTTTTAGCGGAGACTTCCACATGTTGGAAGAGGGTAGCGCAGGGGCGTCTCGAAAGCGCGCATTTCTGAAAGCGAGAGGCAGGGAGAGAGTAAGAGAAAGTGAGAGCAGAGACGTCAGCATCAAGTCAAGATGTCCTCATACCGGGAGTATATAACCTGGCAGCCCCCCCGTGATTTCCTTATGAACTATCTACACCTGTTTGTCTTATCACTTCATCCCAATCTTAACTTATCATCTTCGTCGAAAGCTCCGTCTTTGACAGACATAGCTTCACTCTTCACTCTCCAAGTCAACCCCTCTAGCCTGGACATTTACAGGCTTACAGCTCTTACTCACATTCAATCAACCAGTCTTGAGGAGCTTCACTCTCTACACCACCCATCATGGCTCCCAATCACCGAGCTTCGTCCACCGGCAGCTTCATCGAAAGCATTCAAGCTGCCCGGAAGCAACTGGACAACATGGCATTGGGTACTCCTGATTCCTCGCTCGACGGTTCGGAAGCATCATCCCCTGGCAACTCTCCTGTCGGAAGCCCTGCTAGCGCTCTTTCACCCGTCACCCCTTCGATAAGCGTCGATGCTCCCGTGGCCGATAGCTTCGCTTTCGCCTTCGACATTGATGGTGTCCTTATCCGTGGTGGCCGTGCCATTCCCGAGGCCGTTGAGGCCATGAAGGTACTCAACGGCGAGAATGAATACGGCATTCAGATGTAAGTTGCTTCCAACCCATTGCTTGAGCTACATTTGAAACTGACATGGAACTCTGCAGTCCTTATATCTTCCTTACGAACGGAGGCGGCAAGACCGAAGAAGAAAGATGTGGTGACTTGTCAAAACAGATGGAGATCGAAATCTCTCCCGCACAATTCATCTGCGGCCACACTCCCATGAGGGAAATGGCCGACCGATTCAAGACTGTCTTGGTTGTTGGTGGAGAAGGCGAGAAGTGCCGTCAAGTTGCTGAAGGCTACGGCTTCAAGGATGTCATCACGCCCGGCGATATCATCAAGCACAACTCGGCCACAACACCATTCCGCAAGCTTACGCCCGACGAGCTCAAGAACTCTCGCGAGCGTGACTTCACTGACGTTACTATCGAGGCCGTCTTCGTCTTCGCGGATTCTCGCGACTGAGCCGGCGATATTCAAATCATGCTCGATATCGCAATGTCCAAGGGCGGCAAGATCGGTACTCTGAGTGAGACCTTTGATGAGGGCCCACCAATTTACTTCTCTCACAACGATGTCGTCTGGTCTGCGGCCCACGACAACGTGCGTTTGGGTATGGGTGCTCTCCGCCGCATGCTCGAGGTCGCCTTCAAGGACGTTACCAAGAAGAAGGGCAAGCTCCACACACACGCCTTCGGTAAGCCCCAGGTCAGCACATTCGAGTTTGCGACGAGGCTCTTGCAACAATGGAGACGCCAGCAGCACGGCCTCGACGCCCCTCCCGACACTGTCTACTTTGTCGGCGACACTCCCGAGTCCGATATTCGCGGCACGAACCTGTACGACGAGCACGCGGACAACGAGTGGCACAGCATCCTGGTCAAGACCGGTGTCTACCAAGATGGTACGGAGCCGGCTTACAAGCCCAAGGCTACCGTCAACACCGTCCTGGACGCCGTGCGCTACGGTATCCAGCGCGAGATTCGCAAGCGGGTCGTCACCTCGCTGCGCAAGGACATCCTCGGCGAAGAAGATTGCCTTCGCGCCATGCAGGAGAAGGGTAGCGCGTGTTACACTCCCCTGGAGGAGCGTACGCAACCAATCTTGGGTTAAAGATACGGCGACTTTTCAGCATTTACAACTTTATATGATAAAAAGGGATGTTCGGGATATTAGCGGTTTTTTCTTTTTTGGGGACAAAGCTCTCTTCAGAGCTTCCTCATTTTCTGAATTTGATTATTCACTTGGACGGAGTAAAAGTGTGATACCAAAGGCGTCAGCAATGAACATCACGACTACAGATAGATGCTAGAGTCATAAATAGCTTGTCAGCAGATTCGCATCGGTCAATATTTATAGGCGCATTAGCCGCCAAATAACTCTGAATTACTCTAACTATTTTAATCGTCTTGTGATTTACTGAGAGGATTGTAGCGGTGAATGATAGCTCACACGTCGGTTAGCGATAGTTCATATTAGTCCACCATTTCTATCATTTGCGAGTAATTCTTCCGCCACAACCGCCTCGACATGAACATGCACATCAAACCGGGCAACGGCAATACTACTGCAAGGGAAGCAAGCATCATGAAAGCATGCTGTTGGCAATCTCTCTCCCCGCGAGCCGACGCCGAGCCTGCAAAACACCGTCATTCACGGACCTGGCGCCGCGCCGCTGTCCGCACTGGTCTGCTAAGGACCCGGCCGGTGTCGAATATAAGCTGGCATCCCTCTGCTGATTTCCTGATCCCGCCGTTGGCGCTACTGCTCATTGGAGAATTGGTACCCGTGAGAAGCCGAGTGGCCCAACACGTCTTTGCTTGGCAGAGCATCTCAGATGTTGCCCAGACGAAGATTGTCTCCAAAGAGTAACCCGTCGCCAGTTCCCCCCCTCGCATCTCGCATGCTTCTGTGGAGAAAGCAACCCACCGCGCGCGTGGGTTTCCTCGCGGACAGAAATGGATTCGCGGGTTGTTGATCTGCGATGGGGGAGGGGAGGGGAAGAAGTGGAGGAAATGGCGCACGAGTATGGAACTCGGGAGGAGAAAAGAATGGCAGAAGTACATGTACGAAAAGGTGTTCGCAGAGAGGAGTGTGAGTCTGCTTGTTTGCTATGTGCACACTCCTCCCCATCCCCACCTCCACATGGTGCTGGCTCGTCACCGTCTTCTCGCTCCTCCAGGAGTTCCTCCAGGAAGTCCCTCTGCAACCTCCGCATCTCTTATCGGTTGGTACCAGTAACACGCTTCGAATCCCTCGGATCCCTGGCATCGGGCGTCGTAGTGCTAGAGTGAGATTCTGTGAATGTGAAACTGCCCCACTGCGAGGAGGCAGCCCACGACGCAGCATCGACGGCTTCCTGGCGTTGCTGGCGGTCCTTCACAGCCTCCGTCGCGCTGCAGCCGAGGGAAAATCCCGGGACGTACTCGCGGTCGACGCGCAGCCATCCTTTCCAGGCGGCAGTCACGTCGCCGGCCCCGAGCGCGCCGATGACTATGGTTCCCCACCATTCCCGGGCGCCGCTGTGGTGGCCGCCGTAGAGCATCCAATTCTCCGCAGCGGCGACGAGCTCCCGGATTTGCTCCGCGCCGATGCTAACACCGCCTCCGCCTCCGTTTCCGCCGCTGCGGCTATCGGCGGTGGTGCTCCGGCGAGCTGGTCGATGCACGTAGGCGTGGCGCAGATCGTCTGGGTCACCAAGGATGCGAGTTACGTCGAAACGGTGCTCCGTATCGAAGATCAGTACCGTCTTGTTATGTGGATGTGACAAAAGGGCCGAGACGAGTGCGTAGACGAGCGGGAGTTGGCGGCCGGTCACAGCTAACGGAGCAGACTTTGTTGCACGAAAATTCCGTTGGACAAGATCGTCAAGTCCAGGCACGGGGCATGACTTCGGATGCTTCGATTTGTTTGTTGGCGCATCGGGATCAACCCCTATGCGGAGAGCATACAGTATCTGCGGTGCTTCGTGTCAGTGATAGTGCGTATGTGCGACTGCATTGTGGTCATTTTGATGATGCGGGGTTGGGCGTGAGTGCAAATGATGAGATTGAAGATGACTGCTGCTGGGGGTGAGCAATGGTCATGAGGATTTCGGCGTTCGCTACACGGACGAAAAGTTGAACGGAAACATCACTCATCCAGCTTTCATCGACCAGAACCAATTGAAGAAGCAATCCCCCCAACCCAAACCCCCCAGCTTGCGCAAACAGAACGGACTCGTGATTCTTGCGTACCTCGTCCAGGTTCGTCTCTTCGATCTCGCCCAGCAGCCTTGCGCCGGCTAAAGCGGCCGCCGAGGGCATTTCCATCTCCAATTCCGTCGCCGTCGCCGCTTGAAAATGTCGCCGCCGTGTGCCGCGTTCCCACCGTCAAAATTGGATATGCACGTCCAGGCAGATGTCAAGGGGAAGAAGCGCAAGCTGCCAGGAGGCGCCGATGTCGACCTGACCAAGTGTGCGTTGAAGGAGATGACGCAGTACAGGTGCTTTGTCGAGAACTCGCAGTCCCGAAATAGCCCGGTCCGCTGCTGGCCGATTCACCGACTATTCCGACAGTGAGTTCTAATTTCTTCTAACACCTTCTTCTCCTTGCCAATGTAAAATGTCCGTCGTCGGGGATATTGTAGATTGACTGTGTGTGTGATTCACTAGATGTCAAGACAAAAAGGGCACGTTCATGGTTGAGACCACAGCTTGGGAGGGTTCAAAGCCAGACCCCACCACCCGTCACAACTCCCAAGCTATAGGCAACGGCAAATCGCAAGACGGCCATTCTAGTGAGCCATCATACCATCAATGGTCTCAGGCATGGGAGGATGAATGAGCCAGGGCATCATTGTTTCCGGGGTATCTATGGCGTCTAGACGCACACTGCAGGTCGTCCAGGCTTCTTTATTTGACCATCTCATTCGAAGCACAGAGTATGCGCACCTAGTTGATCGTATGACGATACGGCCCGGCCGGATTGTGTCTTGGATAATCGATCCAAGCTCATCGAAACCAATGCTGTAATACCATCCATATATCATACAGTGACGCTCCAACATCGATCACGTGCATCATCAACATAGGTCTCGAGCGATGAAGCCTGTAAGCTCTGGAGGAATGAGAAAATCAGACGAGCAAAGCCAATTTCCCTTGATCGTATCGCAAGCTGTCGCACTAGGTTTACACGAGGTTTCGGCACAGCAAGACCTTCACCGTAGAGGCAGCATGGATCAAGTGACGTCGACTGGTGGACAATGGTCCGTCGACTAAGGCGACAAACATCGACGCATGCATCGAACCAACTCACATAAAGAGGCTCTTGCTTCAATTGCTGAAGTGTATGGTACAATCGGGGTTGGATGATCAACTGATGAAGCCCGTATCTTGTCTATGACTGCAAATGCCCTCTCGTGCTTCCTCCGCCCAATCTAACAGACCATCTCAATTCGCTCCGTTCCCGCTTCGTCTCGGCTATTTGATTGTCGCTTATGCCTTGCGGGCCTCGGCCTTCTGCTGCTCGAGCTTGGCGTAGTAGCTGTCGCGGGCGTTTGTGCGCGGCATGTGGAAGCCGTACCTATAATTTAATCTTAGTTTTCGGGGATGGGACTTCTGGAGAACTCAGTCGACGATCGCGTACCAGTAGACGTTGGCCATGGCGAAACCGAGACCTGTAAAGGCAACGTTAATTGAGTCATTCTCGGATGGTGTCGGAAAGAAAGGGTGGAACACTGGAGTAGCAAATCGCTGCATGCTGAAGTCGAGAGGCTCAATTGACGCATGTCACCCTCAATCCAGCAGCAGCAAATCTGCAACGTCCAGCCCTGCCCACGAAGAAGGGCTTACCGAGGGCGATACCAAGGTCGAGAACGAGGTTGCGTCGCAGCATCTGTCAGTTGTCGTTAGCCCACAGTCCGTTGCCCTTCGTCTTCTTCCTCCGAGATTCTGGCGGAAATTCTATGGAAGGGGGGGAAAACGCACGCCCGTGATGGGCTTAACAGCAGTAGCGCCGGCCATTGTGATGTGTAGTGCGGAGAGGGTTGTGGTAGTCGATTGAGCCGAGAGTTCGTAATCGGAGGGTTGTTTGACGATGCTGAGATCTTTGGCGGGTAGCTCGAATGGTCTGATCAATTCGCGCGAAGGGAAATGTCACGTGATGTTGAATTCCTCTTCAACCAAGGCAATGGCTCTGTGATGGCTGCTGGGCCTTAGCTAAGCATTTCGGTGATTGAAACTGCTTCGCCCTGGTTGGCCATCGCATCTTCCATTGCTCTCAGTCAGGAAAGAGAAAAAAAACAAGACTTAGGTAAGCAGACCTGCCGGAGGAATGCCGGCTAAACAGGTACAGGGGCGTGGCCTTGGTGTGACCGTCAACACGCATGGGATCTTCCGAGCATTTTTTCCCGTAACGGGTGGGATTGAAGCTGGTTGACAATCAATCAGCTTGAATCAACAACACTAGTAGCAGCCATGAGTCTTCCCACGAGGCGGTTGGCCTCAGCCGGTATGTTTTCAATTGATAGTATTTTGGCTTCGTTCTAGCCCCCAAAACTGCGTCATATCGCTGTCAGCTGTTGAATTGGGCTCCCTAAGTAGCTAACCTTCACTGAACTACCAGCTCCCTCGACACTTCAAGCCATCACCCGACCGATCCCTCGATCCTTTATCCTACCCATTCGACCAGTCACCCAGGTCCGAAGCAAATGGACTCTCGGCAGTATATTTGGCAGCCGTCGCGGCAGGCGAGCCCAAGCTTCCGATGACATGATGGGCGAGAACCTCGATGACCCCAAGGTCCGCGAACGCTTTGCCGAGTCACAGCAGCCCAAGATGTCTAGCTCAATCTTCGAGGAGGAAGTCGACGATGTCGTCGCGGACAGCAAAAAGGGCGGCTCCAAGGCTCAAGCTGCCCAAGCGTCGGTGAAGACACCAGAGACGATGGCGTGGCGCCTCGACCCCGATCCGCGAAGTCGTCTCCGCTGGGAGAGAAAGAAGGTTATCCAGATGGTCCGCAAGAACGGCCACGTCACCCGTGAGGAGCGTATCGCACAGACTGAGAAGAAGCTGTCTCACAAGAGCCCCTTTTTGGAGACCAGCGTCAAGAAGCTCGTGCATCTGGCGCGCCAGATCCAGGGCAAGTCCCTTGAAGAGGCCGTTTTGCAGATGTCGTACTCCAAGAAGAAGATGGCGGCCGAAGTCAAGTACCAGCTGGAGGAGGCCAGAGATTTGGCTGTTGTCACCCGTCGCATGGGCATCGGTCGCGTCGCCACCAATGTGCAGCCCATTAAAATCCAGACCAAGGAAGGCAAGACCATGACCATCACAGACCCGACAAGACTCTATGTTGCTGAAGCCTGGGTTGGTCGAGGACCTTGGAGGGCCAAGGAGCTTGATTACAAGGGCAGAGGCAGATTCGGCATTATGCAGTCGCCCTCAACCAGTATGTTTGATGCTTTCCCATACCGCCACTCAATCTTGTCTGTCATGAGGTTAACAGTAGTTCGCAGGCATTTCAATCGTCTTGAAGGAGGAAAAAACGAGAATACGAGAGCATACGGAGAAGTTGGCTAAACAGGCGAGGAGAAAGCCCTGGGTGCATTTGCCTGACCGGCCAGTGACGGCTCAGAGACCCTACTACTCATGGTAAAGACACAAAGGTCACGAATGGAAGACACGTAACTGGAAGTACTTGGGATACCATCTTGTAACACACTCAAAACCTGTAAGAATATGTACAATGAAAAGCTGTCATAGAGTCCTTTACGCCATCTTCGCTGCGAATCCCCCTTACGTCACCGGTGCCTTTGGGTGTATGCATGCAATAGAAATAGGATATCCCGTGGTATAATGCTGGCCTTTTTTCGACAACCGCCCCTGAACCCCGCTCCACCGCAACCGCTCATTAACATTCATTTAGTCATAATTCATATAGTGGAAGACATCCGCTTGCGTTGCTCATCTGCTTGAGATGGGCCAGTCGAAAAGACGAGCAAGGCAGATGCCTCGGTGAACTGCCGCTCACTCGAAACGCCTGGGTGACTGGCGCGGCAACATGTCTTCGTACCTTCTCGACTTCATCTCCAGCTCCGAGTGGTTCTTGTCTTTCATGCCAATGAAACCTCCAGTGTAGTCTCTTCCGGACCCAGGCATCGGGCCCGAAATTTGCATAGACTTGGCACGATTCTTTGGTCGTCTGATGAGAAGCCACAGAGCCAAGGCGATGGCTAGGACACCTACACCTGCTCCCACTCCGATGCCTATCTTAGCAGATGAAGAGAGGCCTGCCGCATCGCTCTCTAGGTTGCCCGTTCCGTTCTCCGAGGCTGAGCCGGATTGCGATGGGCGAGCTCCGGTAGATGTCGACGTTGACCTCGAAGAGGTTGAGGACAATGACCTGGTAGATGTGGCCTAGAATGAGTTAGCCAGGACTGAAGTTATCATCATAGACTGGAAGCATTAAGCTTACGAGGGTGGTTGAAACTGCAGTTGACGGCTGGAATGCCTGAGCAGTATCGGTGACAGTGTTACGAGAGGTTTCCGATGGAGCTGTTTTGGCGACTTCAGAGGAAGCAGGAGTCTCAGCAGCGCTGGGTTTCGGCGGCTCGCTCAAGCTCGACGGTGACGGGGGCGGCTGAGAAGTCGACGGCAGCACCACCGGAGGTGTTGTCTGCTGAGCGGCGGGTGTAGAAGGCGGCGGGTTTGACGCAGGCGGTGTCGAAGCAGGAGGTGCTTGCGTAGCAGCTATCATGGAAAGTCAGTGATGTCTTTGCTGGATCAGGGAACGAAGTTGCCTCACTTGCACATAGACCCGCGACATATTCATTGACTTTGGGTGCTACATCTGCAGCGCATGATTGCGAGGCGCAATCACGAACACCAAACACGAAGTCTTGTTGTTTACAAAGGCAGGCATTGTCTCCAGAGGCGCAACCAAATCCTTTGGCAATGACATTGTTGACACAGGTAATCTGCGGTGCAAGAGCGTGTTAGTCCTTGATACTCGCTCAGTTTTCTAGAAACGTGTCTTGATGCCGCCAATCATGTCTCTGAATGATTATTTCGGCAGTGACTTACACCACATGGTGGCAATGAATCCAGTTGCGCGCAGACATTGCCAAGAAGGGCCGTAATGGCGAAAGCCCGAAACCAGAATCGACGTCTCATTATGAGATTGGTGAAGGTAAGTGCGACAGAATACTTGATGTCATCAACGTCAAGTGAAGTGTCTTGGAGACAAAATTTCGGCGCGTCACTTTCCGGAATCTCCTAACACCTGATGCGCATAGGACCGGATCTTTTACAGTGTCGCACAGAAAACCATGATCTGTCCCGGGTTCAAGTGGTTGGTGAGGTACTCCGGCACGTCGCAGACGTTCGTATGGAAAATAGGGCGTTCGTTACGTGGCGCGAAATAGGCTCAGAGAGAACGTATGAGACTGCTCGACAGACGGTCAAGGTGACGAAAGAGGCGACGAAGCTGACAAGAGAATGCGAACCCCCAAGACTCAGTGAGGTAGATGGCTGAAGTGATTTGGGTCAGGACTGGCGGCAGATGGTCGACGTCGCGAGAGATAGAGAAAGTCAGGTCAAGTCGAGTTGGATGGACTTGCAGCGGGATGGGGCGGGAGAGGCGAAACAAGTTGACCAAAGCTGGAATGGAAGAGAAACGGTCAAGGCGAAGTGGGAGGAATGGAAGAGAAAAGCCGGCGTGGGACGAACTGGGGAGAAAAGCTGAAGAAGATTCCGAACGGGCAGAAGAGAAGAAACAAGGTACACAGCGAGGAGAAAAGAAGGGAAGAAGCTCGCAGGTGAGGTTCCGGGGGAATGAGAAGGGAGCGGGGAGTGAGGGTAATATTTCAGATTTAGAGAGGGAGGAGGGATATTGCCATATTGAAGAAGGAACACGGTCCTACTCCCACACCCACATATCCCTCGCACTTGCACTTACACTGGCAGCCCAGGGAGGGACTACCTTGCCTCCATAGAGAGAGCGGTGCAACTTATCTTACCAAGGTGGCTTACCTACATGCAGAAAGGACGGGAGGACGTGGGCCAGAAGTAATGGCAGGGGCCAACCAATCTGATGGGATCATGGGATGGAAGGCACTGTTGGCCCAGTATGTGGTGCACGGGGTTGCCCTGGTTCATGAGCAAAGAATCCAGATACATCATCGGACGAGGAAAATAACGCAAAGAGCCATGTCACTCATGACGAGGGGGCCTTCCTTCCTCTCTTCATCAAGAACAGGGGAAAGGGGGTGGGGAGAGAAATAGAAGGGGACCAAAAAGGCACGAGCACGGGCAGGAGGCTGTGAAGACAGCCCAGGGTTTCCCTCTGGTGCAAGTGCGACGTTGGCAGTTGACAGCCCGCGGACCTTGTCGCGTCCACGTTAAATTAGTACAGTCGCGTCAAATAGAGGTATAGACGGAGACATGTTTGGCTATTTGTCTTCTCTGTCGGTTTTCATGGCATCCGACGTGTTGCGTACCTTGGTCTGGAGTTTGCAGGCCCACACCCAAGGTGGACAAGGTAAGTTATGGCAGACGAATAATGGTGGTGACAGGCGTGTCGGGCCATTTGCTGGCTGATACTGGATAGTCCTCTCTAAACTCTGCAGAGGAAAGATAAGGTAGGTAGGTACCTTACTTTTACTTGTACTTCCTCGAGCAAGCAAGTAGACAAAGGTGACTGACACGCACGTTGACTGGCAAGTATCTTGATGCGAGGGGGGGACGGGTTTGAGAAGGGAGCAGGCCCGGGCGCTTTCCATGTTGGTTGAGGTAAACTCAGGTAATCCCTTGCCTGAGGTAGGTAGGCACCCTCGGCACCTTACCTTTTTCACCTCAGGGCAACGTAGACTGGAACAAGGAAAAGGAAGGAGAGGCTCCGAGGGTCTATCTAGTATGGCTGCATCATGCTCTTGCCTGTCCTTGTCTTTCTCGTCTTTTGGCTTTTCAACACGATCAACCTGCGCATACCCCGAGCATCACCACAAAAGCTGCGTCATCCGATGATTCAACAAAAGACGCACATGGAATCCAGATTCCCATCCGAGGTCAGGCAACAATGAAGTGGGAGACTCTTGACCTTTTCGTCACCCTTGGCTCGTTATGCGTACGGGTGTACCTACGAGGCTAAGTTCCCGTCGAGGCAAGTCACATCGGCGGCTCGCCATGGATTCTGGTGGAGGATCCCCAACTGGGCCTGGGCCCGATCTGAGGGAGACTACTCTGAGTCTGTGCCGCGAGCTGCCATACCAGGATGAGCCCGCTTTGACAGGGGTTGCGGAATTGGAAATGGGGGTCCAGGGATGACGTTCAATGGAGGGGGAGATCCGGTAACTGGTAAAGACGACTCAGCCGTAGTGTACATCCAACTCTTCTTGGTGAGTTATTCGCACGATCCGGACGTGAAGCTTCCACGTCCAACTTCCTCGTCATAATGAACTGTTTTCCTCGTTTCTTGAAGTATCCCACATTCTTCGTTGCCTCATATTTTCGACGGACTACAGAGTAAGAATGATGGGAATGATACGGATACGGCAGGTCGAGTTTGCGGCGCATAACGTTGGCTCACGTTTGCACATAGACGTAACACTGATATAGGTGTGCCGCCGTGGGGTTGCACCTGCGCCGTCCTATCAGATCTTACAGATCGTCCGAAGCTATTCTTGAAGAATAAGCCACGCACGAATTCGGCCCCGTCTCTTACAGGACCTTTTCGGATTGTTGGCGAACGCTGGCCCCATCCGACCCCAACGGCCTGCTATTCGCCTGGTCGTCCGATCCCTAGTCGTAGTCGCAGCCAGGGGTTGGTTGGCTGGATAGGAATCGCGTGTAGTTGCGACACGGGGCACAGTCAAAGCCCACTCGCGCGACGTGCCCCAGCTAAAGACTACCTAAACGAAGGTTGGCGGCAGATGGGTGGAAAGGGGGCGAATCCAGCTTGTGAACTGCGCTTTCTGGCCTCTTGGCCGATGAGGGGTCTACAACGGTCAAGCACATGCCTAGGTAGGTACCTAGTGTACACTCATTGACCGCTTTCACCTGTCGTTGGTTCCGAGGCTGATCTGCGCTAGGCAGGTCGTGTATCTTGCCGCCGCAAGCCACCGCACATCAATCGTTTCGCCCTAGACTTAGGGAAGCACGGAAGATAGGAAAAGGAGATGGCCGCGACGGGCTCGGAGCGCATCGTTCAAAATCCATTCCGACACCCAAGTCCACGGTAAGTGAGGTAGAATGCTACAGGACTTCCTTTTCCGATCTATTCGCTTAGCCTGTGCGCACTGCGCACCATGATACGAGGATTCCGTCGTCATCCAACAGGGGAACAAGACTGCAGCATGACAAACCGTGTGCCCGAAAGGGAAAGGGGGAACCTGGGAGTTCCATGTTCCATCGGGCTGCATGAACTGCGGATGCCGGTGCGGCACTCCCGTCACCGGCATGGGGACCTGGACGGCATTACTTAAGGCACTTTGGTCTCTGTCCCTTCTCTTCCATTGCCCTGAATGTACCTTATGTAAGCTGCCATCCGATGGTGCTGACAGGACCAATGGGTTCCTAATTACCGACCTTAAGCAAGTTGCTACCTGCTACGTATACCCAGACCTCACTCAAATCTGTGCCGCTTACCTACCTACTTGACTGTTGTAAGGAACGCGCGCTAAATACCAACCTTATTCAAGGTGACCTGGGCTCAAAGTTAAACGTTCTATGAATAAATGTTAACATCGTTAACGGTGAGTTACCAACATGAGATAAGTCGAAAAGTTTGTAAGCTCGAGCTGAGGGTGTTCTCGTATTCAACCAACAGCATTTTCCCAATCTTGTCCGTTCCCACCAAACGCATGCTATCCTGAGCGTCCGTATGCCCTCCTCGCACTGCAGCAGTCCCGAGTTATGAGAGCAAACTCATTTTTCACCACTCGTTACATTTTGATCAGATGGGAGACTTGCGCATTTGCCGCCTGTTACTTGTCCTCCACCTCTGGCCCCCGCACAGAATATTCGAATGGGCAGACAGAACGAAGTACCGCTGTCATGGCTCCTCGCTCCCCTGTTTCAGCGCTCTCCTGAGTCGGATGGGAAGAAAGCCTCTATCCACGCACTCAGCGGCTTGGAGCTCTGGGCAGTGCTTGCCAAATCTCTCGGCTTTTCCGTTGCTGCACTTGACCCTCACTTTCTTGCTGCTAACTCTCAGATACGGAGCACAGCCGGAACAGTTGGCCTGCCCAAGACGTAAGTCATTCTCCGTCGCTGCCGTATCATGGTTAAAACCGGTACTTATGAAGACATCTCCAGAAGTTCACTCATTCTTTCCAAACGTACACATTCGACTGCTAAAGTCTCACGACAGCTAGGCCATGTTCAAATGTCGAACAGCTTGCCCTGTCGCCTGCCGCATTCTCCGCTTGCTTCTTTCTGCCCCTTCATCTCGACCTGAACATGGCTTTGCCGTCGATAAATGGACTCGCTTGTCGTGAATTCATGCGCCTCGCAGCATCACGGCTACTGGCAAACAAGGCTACATCTCGATGGCAATAAGTCGGCTGTTCTGCTATATGTGGCTTGCTTTGCCTAGGACAGGCATCCCCTGCGCATAAATCAGACGGGGCGCGCTGTAACAAGCACCACAAAGGTGGAGACTTTCCCCTTCTTCTCTTCTTCTTTTTTTTTTTTTTTTTTTTTTTTTTTTTACTCTTGACAACTATAACGGCCGCCTGCCCGGATTCTTTAGGATTCCCCATTGCGGTCTCATGTTGATGGCTGAGCCAGCTCGCCGTTCCGGCTCCTGGTGCTTTGCGACTGCGTAACGAGGTGAGGTTACTGACGACTGGTTCTGCCATTCATTTCCTCCATCGCTAGACCTCTTGAGGCCCGGTTATATGGCAGAAAGACACAATGATGCCCTTATTTGGACGTTCTGTTGCCTAGCACAGCTGCCAACTCGATGCAGATAAGCAGGGGCTTATCAGATCGTTCGTGGTAGTAGACCGGTTAGGATGCCATGTTCGCTCTACGAGTAAGTCAGACAGCTTCGCGAAATCTTCGTCGTTGTACAGCCGATTTCGTTGGGCTAAGACGGCGCTGGAGTGCCCGTCCTCGTCACTACTGACTCCGCTAGCCCGGACCACGGCTCCGGCGTTGTAGATTGACAGGTCATCGGGTGACGGAATGAGTTGCTGCTCAACAGATCCCATATTTCTACGTCCATAACTATTTCTGCCTGTGTGAATATCTCTAATTAATGTCCTAAATTTCGCTTATTCGCTCTTTCTTTGATGATATTCTCTACAACATCCTTAAAGAAACAGTATCTTAGCGAGACTGTGACAACAAGCAAAATCGTAACGGTATTGGAAAGAGGGTTAATCATATGCTGACTAGCTGTCATTTTACCACCCGCTTGAGTGACAGTCGTATCAAACCAGCATGCAGCGAATACATCCATCGGCGTCGATTGCGTATCACGTGGTTCCGTAGTGGTAGGAAGTCAAACTTTAGAAGCCGTTGACGGATATGCTGTCAAGGCTCAAGAGTCAGATCCGGGCTCGGAGTTCATTCCGGTGCCGAGACTGATCGGAACCGGCTGACCAGACACCCAGAGTCTAGACTTCTGACTTAGGCAACTTACAGACAGACTCGCGTAAATTGCGGGCTAAGGCCCTTAAGGGCTAAGGCATGTATCCGTAAGTAGCATTGGTGCGACTTTTTGAGTAAGCTCATGACTCCATTGAGTCCATTCCACAAGGTAGGGTGACTAGCTCTGGAGATCACTACAAATGCTATGAATAGCTAGGCTCAAGTGCATTGAAAATAGCGATGCTCACTACAGGATCATGATGGCCGATTCGACTGGCAAAGCGTGCATAGAAAGGGGAGACGTCGGCTGCGCCTCGAATTGTTCTCGGAGCCAGAAACAAGACGGACACCTGGGAGGAAACACAAGAGTTGAAAAACCCAACAACTCAAGAGCCTCTTGGAAGTCGCATCATTCTCGCGGCACATCGGCATGACCTCACCAATGCCAAGCCCACCGGCCTCGCCAATGGCTTGGTGTCTTACTCCTCAGCCATCTGAAAAACGGCTAAACAGCCGGGCAAGGCAAACGAGATAAAGTTCAGCCCCTTGGAAAATTCTTACCAAAAGTTTACTTAACATCTTATTTGCACGGCGATAAGGACTGTTGGCTGGCCGGCCGTGTCCATTCATTAGAATATAACAGCCGGGCTTCGGCGTAGTATTGCTCCGGGAATAGGCGGGCTCTGGTTCTCCCTCCCCACAAGATGTTCCCGGCATTCCACTTCTCATCTCAATTCAGCTGGTCAGGGACGCGCTGGTGACCTATTACGTGGGCGTGAGGTAAGCTAAGTATTGGTTCGAGCTACTTGTATCGACAAGTCTGCGAGAGTCTGCGGAAAATGAATACTAGGCAGGACTTGGCGTTTTGTGTAGTTTGGCTGTGGTTTTCCTTCATTCTCAGCCTCTCGATACCCCGGCCTCTATGAGCTTCCCGTAAGTTATGTTGACGCTCGCTTTCGCAAAGCATGCAAACCAGTAAGATGACTTTACCTTGCCTCAATTGGCTGTGGTTGGGTCCGTGTCTTCGATCTCTGGCGTTTCCTTACATGATAAGAGTCCTGGGCGTTCACGGTACCTTCACCTAGGAAAGTCCCATTGTCCAAGGCTCCGTGCAACCATGAATGAGATATCGCAGCAGTCGATGTCTTCAAGTATGCTTAAGCATAAGAAAGTCGGCTGGGCAATTGGTACCAAGCCTAGGGCTTGACTCTTACTAGAATGCCTCATCTCAGTGTGTGTAAGGTACACATCGGCAGGTTTAGCAGTACAGTAGAGTAACCAGTCAGTATCGACACTGAGCTTACTCGACTTTGGAATGCCACAACCTTCGTATCATGTGGAAATGTAGAGAATGAACCAGATGACAACTCACTAAATGAGGATAATGGAGACTTTCCTCCCAAAAGAAGATTTTGTGACTGCCAGTTGCAGCTCCAAGTGCCACTAGCGCTCCTTCTCGTTCTTGTCATTTTTTTCGCCGTAGGTACCTGAGGTACCCGTGTACTTGCCGACAACGCCTACCCCAACCAATGAACGTACCTGCTGTAGTGTTTTGCTCACAGCCTGGTAGGTACCAAGCAAAGACGGAAAGAAAAAAAAAAGGGGAGAGAGCAAGGCGGCCGGGCTGAATAGACATTGCTTGCCTACGTGCCCGCCCCGTCTCGTACCGGCGCAAAGGTTTCCATTTTGCTGTTGACCACGTTGTAATTTTCAATCAGTTCTCGTCGTTGCTGCTGGCCAACACTGTATATTTCCTTTTTCGAGGAACTCGAGCCGCAGTCTGTGTCGCTGCCGCTACCGCGATTTCAATTCTTCGATTGCGAATCCTCATTGTTGCTAGCAGCTTCCGAAGCTCGTACACGCGCCGACCGTCCAAGCTTGACTTTTCTTCAACAAAACTCGTCGTCCACGTTCCCGTTGACAAACCACGCCCACGTCCCTTCGTCGCCGCCGTCGGCATCGCATCATCCTCAATTCTACACCCTCGGTGCATGAGTCTGGCGCAAGCGAACGACTGAACCACACCCTTGACGACTGCTCCTCCCATGATTCGTCTGTTGACGACCTCACGATTTCTGCAAGATGGCGACCCTGCCGGTAGGGGAGGACAAATGGTTGGATTACGTCGCTGAGAACAGTCGACACGCCAACGACCTAGAGAAGCGCGTTCATGTCATCGAACTGTTCAAACATGCCGTCGAGGCCGAACCCAACAGCGTCAAAGTCTGGCGCGCATACTGCGATTACTTTTGGTCCCTTTATGTCGACAGTCAGTCTTACGAAGCAGGATGGCCCGACGAGGAACGCCGCATGGGCTGCGAGCTCTTTTCTCTCAACGCCGCCCTCTCGCTATGGCAGCAAGGCTACGAGGCCATCCTATTCCGAATCAACGACAGTCACGAACTTTGGAACCGATGGATATCCCTGGAAAGTGGGCTGCTCGCACGCTCGCGCACCGCCGAGGGAATCCGCCGCATCACGTTCCTCTACACCGATCGACTGCAGGTTCCACATGTAACCCGCGACAGTACCATGCAAGACTTTTCCGAGTTTCTATCGACCTATAATAAGGCTGCCTGGGAGGAGACAATGCAGGGCATTACTGCAAACCCAAAATCACAAGAGGCCAAGAAGTTAACCGAGGATCGTGACGACTACGAATTCAAGCTGCGCCAAGCGTCCCGTGAGGGCAAGGAAGAAGTTTACCGCAATCTCCTCAGAGAATATCTAGAGTGGGAGTGCGCTCAGAGCAAGAGAAGCAACAAGCAGGCAGAGGCTACGGGTGACCTCTGCCGGGGACTTTACGCCAGAGCCTTGACAGGCACCTTTGCCTTCGACGATACCACGTGGAATGAATACGTCCGCTTTCTATCTACCTCTGGGACATATGCACAGTCGCCCCAGGGCATGGTTGATGTTTTGCGTCGGGCTGTTGACCACTGCCCGTGGTCAGGGGCCATTTGGTCGCGCTACATCCTAACCGCTGAAGACGCCAAGCTCCCCTTCAACGAGATCGAGCAGATTAAACACAAGGCGACGAGCAACTCTGAGCTTTATAAGAATGGCATGACGGCGCTCATCGATATGTACGCGGCCTGGTGCGGGTTTCTCAAGCGAAAGGCAATGGATCTGAATGCAACCGACGAGGACGTCGATGTCGCTGATATGGGCTTGCGCGCTGCACTTGAATCTCTTGAGGAGGCCAAACATCGTTACAGCGATAGCTACAGAGGCGATCCTAATTTCCGTCTGGAGCGCATTTACATTCAGTATTTGACCGAGAAGAAACGCAATGTCGACGAAGCGAGAAGCGAATGGCACAAGCTGGCCGAAAAGCAGCTATATGCTGATAGCTATGACTTCTGGCTGAACTACTACCTTTGGGAAATGATGGTTTTTGCCGCCAACGGCAAAGACCGCAGCCCTACACCGTCCACTGCGGCGATTGGCTTGAGAGTGCCGTCGGTGGCTACAGCTGTCCTCGGAAGGGCCATCAAGCGTAAGAGCTTAGACTGGCCCGAGAGGGTCATTGACGTTTACGTCCAGCACTGCAACGACTACGAGCTCCCCAGTACGGTTCGCATTGCTATTGATACGGTCTACGAATCCCGCAAGGAGGTCGCCAAGCGGCGAGAGAGAGAGGCAGCCCAAGCCGCCGAGTACTATGCTGCTCAGCAAGAACAGCAAAATGCCTACGCAGCTCAAGCGGTGGATGATGACGCGTCTTCCAGCTCCAAGAGGAAGCGGGAAGCGGAGACTGATACAGCCGATGAGACTACCAACAAACGACCCAGAAGTGAGGCCACAGAGGCCGAGACAGCCTTGAAGAATCAGAGCCTCAAAAGGGATCGAGAGAACACTTCAGTTCTCGTTAGCAACCTTCCTGCGGAGACAACCAAGACCAAAATACGCCAATACTTCAAAGAGTACGGCCACATTGTCGACGTTACGGACCCTGCCATTGACCCTTCAGACAACACCCAGACGGTCATGGTAGAATTCAGGACCCCGGAGGAGGCTCAATCGGCTCTGCTCCGAGACGGAAAATACTTCGGACCGGCCCAAATCAACGTCAAACCCGGAACTGATCTGACCCTCTTCGTCACCAACTACCCGCCCACAGCAGACAAGGCTTACATCGCAAACCTCTTCAAGGGTTGCGGCGAGATACTGAGTATCAGGATGCCTAGCTTGAAGGGTAACGTTCGCCGACGCTTCAGCTACGTGACATTTCGCGATCGTTCGGCTTCTGCTAAAGCAACTGCAAAGCATGGCACTCTTCTCGATGGCAAGTTCAAATTATCTGCCATGTACTCTGATCCGTCCCGTGCGAAGAAGCGTGATGGCGCTATCGAGGAAGGCAGAGAACTTCACGTTACCAATCTCGACCCTGCGGCCAGCGAGGATGACGTCCATAAGGTTTTCGAGAAATACGGAACTGTGAAGCGCGTCAGCATCCCGAAAAACATGGCAGGTAAAGGCCATGGAGCAGCCTACGTTGAAATGGGAACCAAGGAGGAGGCCGAGAAGGCTGCTTCTGGGCTGAACAACGTCAACTTCCGCGGCAACGTCATCGCCGTACAAGTGTCAACACCTAGCATCTACAAGAGGTCAGCGGCTGTTTCAAAAGAGGGCGCATCTCCGGCGCCAAGTCGAGACGACGATGGAGACGCGACGATGGGAGACAGCAACGGTGATGCGACTGGCCCTCAAGGCGGGCCAAGTCGCGCCGAGATCGCCTCACGGACCATCGCGCTTTTAGATATCCCAGACACGGTCAACGACGCGCGGGTGAAGGAAATTGTTGAGAAGGTGGGGGGCTTCAAGAGCTTCGTTCTCCAGCCTAGTCATGGTGGCGCCAAGATCGAGTTCGAAGACGAACCAAGTGCCGGTCGCGCCATGCTCCAGCTTGACGGCCATGTTTTGGATGGTCGCAAGTTGCGAACCGGATCCGTCGAGGAGCTGAAACGGGCAAAAGGTGAATTCCGGACAGAAAAGATTGTGTACGGTACTGGCGGCAAGAAGCAGACTGACAAGACTGTGGCACCGAAGAAGGCTGGGACCGGCCCTGCCTTTATCCCTCCTTCCACGGCTGTCAAGCGGCCAGTCTTGGGCGGTGCCAAGAGGGGAGGATTGGGGTTTATGCCCAAGGCTTTGAGCGTGAGAGAGGGTGGCCCTGCCGCAAATTCACAACCAGAATCCAAAGTCAATGGCGCTGGTGTGGAAACAGAGACTCGGAAACCGATGAAGAGCAATGCCGACTTCAAGGCCCTGCTTATGTCTACAACTACTACAACTAATGCGTCCAAGGAAGGAGAAGGTGCGGGGGAAAATGGCAGTGGTCAGGTCGCGGAAGACCGTCATTAATTACGGCGTTTATGGGAAAATGGTATTATGACTCTTGCATTTGAGTAGGAGTCCTGGCAAACACAGAAACACACACACACTTATACATATCTTATCATGCCTCAACATCAAAGGGGTTAATATCAAGTGCCTAATGCCCTGTCATCTAATAATTCGACTGACTTGTTCCCCAGCTAGCCTAGGTTCCGTACTTGCGTCTTACTTGATCTGTCTGCTGCACAAGCCATCCCTGGTGGTCTGGAACCTTCCACTGATGTACTGTTGCAAGAGGCAGAGTGTGCTTTGCTGAGTGAGGCTAACGAGACACAAGTACGAGCGTCGGTTGTTGGCTTGACAATCACATGTAGCCAGTCATAGTCCACCGTACACAAGGCACAGCTGTAGCTCTTTTCAGTGTGCTTGCTGCCTTCCCTTAATGGCTTTCGGTGAAACAGTGCCAGCGATCTTGGCCTCGCGGCCTCCTCAAGGACTGTATCTAGCAATGGACATGCCATCTCATCCAACTTTGGCTGCTTTGACTCTTCAAACGACTCCCCAGATGAAAAGATGCATGGCCATAGGCGTCGTACAATGTACCGCCCTACTGTATACAAGACATCAGCTAGCAAAAAAATCTCCTGGGCCTACAAGGGCAAAAACATCTTGACAGGACAATGCACAAGGCTGCTTGCTTCCTTTCACCCCTACAGAAGGACGGCCCCCGCCTAGACGGTTATCGTCCTAGGACAAGCGAATGCTGCAAACATTCTATGTTTTGCTGACACTCGCAGTCATGTCCCTTTCTTTATTGGCCTCCTGCGAGAATATCTTTTGCCAGATGGCCAACCATCTTTCGTGCTGCGCCGACGGCAGTTTGCCGGGCTGCTTGAAGGAGCGAGTGAGGAGCTCACGAAGCCTGGTACGGAGGACCTTGATAACGAGCATCGTCTTCCAGTCGGGCAGGGCAAAGCGGCAGCGGTTGCCGTCGAGGACGAGCACACCGGAGAACATCTGTGTGGGGGAAAGATGAATTAGTTCATGAAATTGAGCTTCAAGCTTGGCAAGGGAGATACTCACGTCGGCTCGGACGTCACCACACAGGAGAGCAATGGCAAAGGGGTCGGCCACCGTCGTCTCATGCGCATGATAAACACTGCTGGTCTGTTAGCTTCTGGCTAATGCACTTTGTAGGCTGAACAACAAGGAAACTTGCCTTTTCGATTGCATGATGTGGTAATACGACAGCCACTTGAGCTCATTGTGTCCCTTGTTGACAGAGGATGGGTGAAGACTGATTGACTGGTTGTTACTGATATTGCGTAGGCCTCGGGCTCCCGGGCTTTCCCGCACCAGGAGTTTGGGATAGAAGCTCCATGTGATGACTGCTGTGGTGATGGCATCGTTTTCGCTATTAATGCTCACGCGTTGGGGAATGTCGAAGAAGCTCTGGTTGCGTCGTCCTCCTCTTGAGTTGGAGCCGTAGCGTACTCTATTGAGCGCTCTTCTCTCCTCGTCAGTCAGCATGAGGAAGCCAGAGTCTGCAACCGAGACTAGCAGCTGACCCTTGAGGTCTTCAATGTTGGCCAAGGTCTGCTGGCTGAGGAAATTCTTGCGACAGAATTGGAAGTCCTTGCCACCAGAAGCGGTGTTCGATTGGCATACGCGCTTCCATGCGAGGTAGGCATTGTAGACGGTAAGGAGATCTGAATCGCCTCTGCGGAAGCCCTTGCGGACAAGGTCGGCCTGAGCTCGCTGACCGAATGGTGCCGTGAATGGCGATTTGGAGGATAGGATGGCGGCTACTGTGATGGCCATATCCAAGCATTTGAAGATCGCACCCATCAAGATGAGCTTGCCAAGGAAGACATCCAGAGGTAACCTGGCTAGTTGATTACCCAGAGGCGTCAGGTCCTCGGCAGGCGTCAAGGCTCTGACATCAATGAGGGCATCCACAGCGCGGCGGATGTTCTTGGCCGAGGGCGGATCCAAGGCTTCGCTCAGCGTCTCCTCGATGCCGCCGATCTTGCAGATCTTGACGCGGATCGCCAAGTCTTGCAGCGAAAGCCGCAGCATCTCGGGAGTTTGCTGGTCGCTCATGACAGCATCGTGCCGGTGCTTTGTAAACATGTGGAAGCAGAGGCCCTCCTGGACACGTCCGGCTCGCCCGCGGCGCTGCTTTGCGTTGGCGCGGGAGATGAAGGTGTCAATGAGGCGGGAGAGCTGTCTTCTCTCGTCGAACCTCATCTCGCGATGCTTACCCGTGTCGATGACGCAGGTCACGTCAGGGATCGTGATACCGGTTTCGGCAATGTTGGTTGCTAGCACGATCTTGCGCACGCCGGGAGGTGGCACGAGGAAAGCAGCTTCCTGGTCCTCGGTCGCGATGGTGGAGTGCAGCGGGTAGATGAGCCAGTCACGCGCAAACGAAGGGTCACCGGAGAGCAGGTCGTTCAGGGTCCGGATTTCTGCGATACCCGGAAGGAAGACTAAGATCGCCTTGCTGTAGGGGATGTACTCGGGCGCGGAGGCGACCTTGGCAATCAGCTGTACAATCAGGTCAAAGTCGATTCGATATTCGTCCATCTGGGCAAGGCTGTTCCTGGTCTTGGCGGAGTAGGCTGAAAGATCAGCTCCGACTGTGGACTTGGGTCCTTCGGGTTCCGCCTCAACAGCATCATCGTCGAGATCAACCATCTTCTCTTGAGGGTTCTGGCCAACGGTGTAACCGGTTGTTTCAATGGCATCCTCCAGGTACTTGACTTGAACGGGGAATGTACGTCCGGGAACTGTTAGAACAGGCGCTCCGCCGAGGTAGTTGGAGAAACGCTCGGCGTCGACTGTGGCTGACATGAGAACCACCTTCAGATCCTTGCGTCTCAGCATCAGCTTCTTCAAGATGATGAGCAAGAAATCACTGTCAATGGACCTCTCGTGAACCTCGTCCAGGACCAGATGAGTGACCTCCCGGAGATCATTCGAACCTTCCAGCATTCGCATGACGATACCTGTAGTCGCAAAGACTAGCCGGGTCTCGCGAGAGGTATTGGCTTCGAGACGGATGGAGTAGCCTACCAATGACCTGGGCGTGCCTAGATCATTACGGCCCTCGCCCAGCTCTTCACTGACTCTGCGAGCCAACGAGATGGCCGAGATTCGACGCGGCTCAGTGCAAAAGATCTTGCATGGCTTACCCTGGGCCAACTGGTGCTCCAAGAGGAAGGCCGGCACCTGGGTACTCTTGCCACAACCAGTCTCTCCGCAGATAATGACGACTTGCTCTCTGTCCACGGCATCCGTGACTTGCTGTTTGAAATTCCACATGGGAAGCTGCATGCGGGATTGGAGCATGGTTTGATACCTAGGAGTGTTGATCTTCTGAGCCCAAATATTTTGATAATATTCAGGGCCGTTGGACAAACGCTTGGCGGCCTCTTGAGCTGCCTCGTCCTTGTTGTCGTTCTGATTGCGGGCAGCGGCCCTTCCCCTGAAAGCGTTGGGGAGAATGACGCCATCCTCCAGTTCCTGATCCTGTCTTTGGCGCACAAGAGCTCGTAACTCTCTAATTGCCTCTCGGTCCTTGGAGTCCAGCTGGCTTTTTCTGGCTTCTGCAAGCTCATCCCATAGCTCACGCCATACATGAGGCAACCTCATTCCAACCTTCTCTTCCTTTGCTGAGGTGCCGAAGATGTGGAACAAGGCCCATGTTGCGACGTACGCTTCCGACTGTTTCTTGTCGGGAGTGGCGATGGACTTCATGCTAAAGCTGAAGCTTGACGGAATGTTGACGACGTCAACTGTATCGTCCTGAGATGCGAATGGGACCTCCTGGGGCTTTGCCCAGGTAATGAAGACAGAGTGACGGTTAGCAAAAGGAACTTCTGAAATAAGGCGGTAGTTGATCCTCGTGGAGGCGTCCCTGCAACAAAGTCAGCATAGGTATCAAGCATCAGTGACTAAAAGGCCATACCTCGCTCTGCAGGCCTCTTCCAAAGCCCGCATAGGGGAGACACCGGTCCATTTTCCGAAATCCCGAATGGTTATCTTGACGCCGTCTGTGCCGTTAAGCACCGTGCTTGATTTGCCTGTAGCGTCTACTTCGGTGACAGGCAGATTGGCAAAGAGGTCACCAAGACCGCCATCGTCATCATCGTGGTTCTGGGCCAAAATCTCAGCAGCGATACGCTCGGCCTCGTCGTTGATGTCTCCATCAGAAGATCCAGCTGCTTCGGCGACCGCCTTTGGCGGCTCCTTCTCCTTTTCCTCCTGGGCCTGTTGCTTTTTCGCGGCTGCAAACTCCTTCTCCAAGACCACCTTCTTGGTCTTCCATTCTTGCTCCGCAGCAAACTTGTCGAACAGGACGTCCTTCTCGATTCTCACAATCTTGGCGCGGAGCTCAGCTTGCAGATCTGCCCCGTCGCTTGCCTCAGATGTGTTGCTGTTCTGCTTTCGTTTTCCTTGTTGACTTTTCTCAAGCTCAAATAATTTGATCTTTGTTTCGAGATAAACAGGAACTAGCTCGTCCGGCTCAATGTCAATGTCGCAGGTCACCACGGCCTTCTTCTTGTTGCCACTTTTGGATGCTTGACCAGGCCTTTGGCGTCCATCAGGTACAGGAGTTGTGGCCCCCGAAGGCAAGGGGCTCTCAGCCGGTGTATCTGATGAGTCTGGTCAGTTCTGCTTGTCTGGCGAGGGCCTTGAATATCACAAAATCGAAGCTTACCTAACTGTCTAATGCTTCTGTTCCCTCGACCCTCGTAATCAGGCAACTCATCACTTGGACACTCTCTCGCCAGCCAGTCGAGGGCTTCTTCAAGACCCCAAAGGCTATCCTTGGTGAAAGATGGAATATTGGGCGCAATGTCGAGAATGTGCCGCATCACAGCTTGAACTCGTTCCTCTGGAAAGCCAACACTAGCGAGTGTCTGTTGAAGTGTCCATAGCTTGATGGTCATATCCTCTTCCGGCAGCAACTTTCCATTCGCAGAGGTCTCTGTAGATACACTTGACGATGCAAAGCGGCTCTCGGCTTGAATCAGATCAAGAACCTGGTCCATCAACTCCTGAGGCAACCATTTCCTCGAGTTGACAGTGTCGGCTTGGCCTCTGAGCAGGCGGCGATCAGTCTCAAGCCTGGTGCGCTGGCGTTGAGCATCCCGCTTGGTCTTTTGAGCATACTTTTCCACCATGAGCTGCAATTCAGACTCGTCAAGTTGCTTTTCAAACTCCTCGGGGCTCAGTTCCGCCTTGGCAGCTTTGTCACCAGCACCATTGGTGGAAGACTGAGGATTAGTTGACGGGGCATCCGATTTGGAACTAGCATCAGGAGCGGCAGTGGCAGCCCGGGCCGCAGCAGCGGCATCGGCTCCTTCAGCGGGTTCGGTCCGAGGCTTGGATGATGCAACGGAGGTGGTGGCGAAGCCTCTGGCCGGGTTGGCGGCGGGCTTCTTCTTCTTCTTGGCACCGGCCATGATAAAGTCGGTAGGGTGAAGCTGAAGAAGGAGGAGGAGGAGGTATCAGTTGCGACTAGCAACCGGTCCGAGTTTTGTGAGTCTGCAAAATGTCGAAAGCAAGATTGGTGGCGTCCAAAAATCCGAGTGTGAGGGCTGCTTAGTGAGAAGCAAACAGTTTGGGGTATGAGTTCAGGTTGGAAAATCAGTCGAAGAAACGGGAAGGACTGGAGAGGGAGCCGAGCCGAGAGGCGAAGGCGGAGACGGAGGCGGAAAATGAAGGGTCCAAGGACGGGAAGGGGGCGGTAGGAAGGCAAAGACTGGTGAAGCAGCCGGAGATGGCGTTGAATCCTCCTGAAGTCCTATCATGAGTGAGCAAGAACATATGATTGAGTGTGTGAGGCAAGTGAGCGCAAACCAAGCACACTCCAGGATGAAGGTGAAAATAATTACCTGGTAGCTTGGTGTGTGAGGCGATTTGAGTGTGGAAGAGTAGGCAGGCAAGGTAGAGTGATGTCAACGGTGTGGCTGGGCTCCTTGCATTGTCAGGGTTGATAAATGGCCCTGGCAGAATTGCTTTGCAAGAGACGGGGCGAAGGCGAGGTAAGGTAGTGAGTGCAACGCGTAAAGCACCTCAGTGAGTGGGTGTTTGTGAGTGAGTGAGCCCAAAGAGAGTGTGTCTCTGCCGCAAAGTCGGGTGCCTGCCTGGCACACTGGGCGCCAAATTCTGGATGGAGTGACAGGCCGTCGGCGGTGTTGGGAATTGGTAAGGCCAAGGTGGATTTGAGGTGGATAAAACGTGGTCTACGCTACCATGTCTGGCTGGATCCACGAAATAGTAGAGGACGGGATGGATGATGATGATGATGATGATGATATACTTTGAGGAGATACTCTGGTAAGTAGACGGGTAGGCAGCAGGTGTCTCCGGTGGCTTTTGAGCTGATACCGGTTCCTCTCCACCTACTGTTCAGTACCTTAGGTATGCTGCACTGCACTTGGCTTCTAATCCAGATAAGGTAGGTCGCGACATGCAAAGGGAATGATTTTGCGCCCAAGGCCAAACCGAAGAACAATCACCGATGAAAGTCTGGAAGATGCTCAGGTCCCATCAGGTAAGGTACTAAATGGTGGGGAATCCAGCAAAACCTACCTACCCAACCGACCTTAATAAGTCAGGCAGTACGTAGGACGGTAGGAGTAAGACTGGGCAGTTTTCTGTGGAGAATAAGGTACTTTCCTCTCTTTTCCATTGTGGCTAGAGTGTGAAAGACGGGAAAATTCAGTATTTCCCCCTTCTTTGAGTCAGACCGGTCTGTAACAATCCCCCCTACTTCTATGGCTCCCTAGCAGATACCTACCTAGTCATTGCCTTGAGCTAGGGCTTCATGGGAGCTGCCCCTGCGTCACCAGTCAAGGTTCCTAGAGAGCTCCAGCACTATGAACCGTGCCCGTGGTGGCAGAGAAGTGAGAAATGCATTGCCTGCATTACAAGACGAGTGATTGTATGATGGTTCGGGGGAACCTAGAGACGGCCAAATTTATCTTCGTCGAGAGCTGAGCCTACCGAAATGGAGATTGTATCATAACCTTACCTCAGGTCATCTCTAATAATGGAAGCAAACGAACGCATGGCGATTGGTGAGTCTGGATGAGCCATCATGAGTGATCATAGCCGTTGGTCAAGCACCTCTGCCCCGCCACGACGAGCTGGAACCTCCCACCTACATTAGGTAGCTGCTGCGTACCTAGGTATTAAAGGGCAGGTACTCCGTACTTTGTACATATCTGAGGTGGGATAACTGATATCATGGTCACCGCCTGCCTCATATGGATCATCGACCCCTCCACCCCATTCGATTCAGTCGCCGGGCCACACAACCCTACCTTCCTCAAGTACCTGAACCTCAGGTACCTCCTCCGTCAAGCTGCGTTCGGCAGAAAAAGTATTCCCACTGGACTGAGGTTTAAGGTGGGCGGCACAACTGCAAATAATCCCAGCCCAGTGCTAAAGTACCTGTAAAGTGACCTGACCTGACCCTATCCGCTTGCGCCGTACCCAACTGCTTCAACGTCTACTTCGAGGTACCAGTCTCTCCGCTGCCTGACAATTTGTGCCAACGGCGAACCTCTCGTTTGTTTCTGCCTCTCAGTTCACTTCATCACCAACTCACTCCTCTGCTCCACTCGACGTCGTCTTCCCCCCGATACGCATACGAAATCCGACGACGACCCTTCTCCTGCTTGTCGACCGTTCAGCTGGGCGACTTGCCCCCAATGCTGCCTTCTGTCCGCCCTTAATCCCGCCAAAATGACTGAAGTCGTCGCCAATGGCTCTAGCTCTGGCTCTGTCGATTTCGCTGCCACGAGATCCGCCTTGACTTCCTCCTCAACCTCGACAAGAATAGCTCATTTGCGCATTCTTGAGGAAAGGTTATCCAACGCCGGTACGAACTCTTGTTTGCGCCCTTGCCCTCCGTGACGTTCCTGTCACGGCCACCGCGCATATCACCTCTCCAAGACAGGATGCTGAATCTATCTTCTTGTTGCTACAGACACCGACGCGGCATCTACCCGCAAGCTTGTCCAGCTACTATTCTGGACTCATGCCTTTTACACCGACCGACCCTCGCGACTCGCTGTTCAGAAATGCCTTTCCGCCATCCTGGACAAGGGCCTTGAGCCTGATGTCCTTAGTGCCTTCGTCGCTGCGTTGCGCGCAGAGTCACAGAAACCTGGCATCGCCGCGAGCAATGCCTTTGTTCTCGTCGAATGGTGCAGTTTGCTCATGCAGCACTTTGCAAAGACCTCCAATTGGGACAAGTTCGCTTCTCAGATTCTCCTGAGTGTTGCGGATGCTCTGGACAAGTGTCTTCAACCCGCCGCCAAGGGTGGCATGGCCCATTCTGCCATAATTGTCACCCGGCGAGGACTGCGCAAGCTCTTCTCGAAGCACCAAAACCCCGAGAAGGCCCTCAAAGATGCTGTCCAACTCCTGGCGGCCAAGGCCGCGCAGCCTTCCGCAGCGAAAGCACCTCTTCTGGGCATCATCGCTGGCGTCAGTTCGAGAATCGCTGCCATCAAGCCAGCCCTCGAGGCCCAGAAGTCTCAGTATTTCAATTTCTACGTCAGAGAAATAATTGGTTCACGCACGGCACTACCGGCCCACGTAGCGTCCGGCCTCCAGGACTTCTTCCTCGACTTCGTCACTCTTGAAGAACTCACCAAGGAGATCATCCCACCTCTCGAGAAGGGTTTGCTCAGGGCCCCTGAGATTGTTTTGAGCGATGTTCTCATCCCCTTGATCGGCTGCCTTCCCAAGGACTACGACCTTTCCCAAATCTTGGTCGGCAACTTGCTGAAACCCATCCTCTCGAATGTGAAGTCCAGCAACGTTATTACTCGTACTGGAGCAGTCAAGGCTTTCAACGCCCTTGCTGCCCGGAGCCACGAGGAAAAGGCACTCGAAAAGATCTCAGAGGAGATTGTAGGGCCGGTCAAGGGTGGCAAGCTGGCATCGGTAGACCACAGAATCCTTCACTGCGAAATGCTAGAGGCAATTCCGCTATCCCACACTACCGCCGACAAGATTGCAACGGCTCTGGCGGCCGTCTCAGCCAAGGAAGGAAACGAAGCCGCCCTCGTTGTTGAGACATCGGCTCTCGCAAGATCGGCCGGCTACTTACTCCAAAATGACGTTGAAGTGGCCAAGCCGGTCATTGACGCATGCCTGAAGGGTATTTCCGACAAGAAGTTTCCCACACGGCGCATCTGGCTTCTGCGCGTCGGTGAGATTTACAACCTGGCTTCGGTCTCTGGCAATCTCTCAGCAAACGCCGTCAAGTTTGCCGAAGCTACTGTACCCAAGCTTCTCGATACCTACAACGAGATTGTCGCCAATCCCCTGGTTGCAGCTCAAAACAACCTTACGGTTGGCGCCTTCATCGCTACCACCCTTACGTCGTGGTCGCAGCAATCCAATGTGTCATCAGCGCTCAAGTCAGCACTTGCCAAAGTCTCCGTTACCGGACAGTGTCTCGCCCTCGAACCGAAGCCCTCGTTCTTGCTCAATCCCCGTGTATACGGCAAAATCACAGCCGAAGACGAGCTTACTTGGTTCTCCCGAGCTTTGGCGGCCGCTGCGGAGCACCTATCCGAGAAGACACCGAAGCCCGTTGCCGTGGCCTGGGCCGAGGCCTTCATTTACGCCATTGTGGCCTCTGTAGCTACCCCCAAGACGAGACAGATCGCGTCAGATAGTCTGACCAAGGTTTATGTCGCCAGACCTGCCCTTGTTTCGCAGGCCATCGTGAGCGGCATCTGGCACTGGCTCCAAACTCTGGAAAGCGGTGACAAGGATAGCGCGGCTATCTTGTCCAAAACCGACAAATCGAACCTTCATCTTGTTCTTCGTGCCATATGTGTCAACTCAAAGGGCCTGCCAGAAGACTCACAGAACTCTGTGCGAGAGGCCGTAGATCAACAGCTCTGCTCACTGCTCGTACTCGCCAGACAGGAGCTTGTTCCCCGCACAAGCTGGATTGAACTTTGTTTGCGCGTTGAAAGAGATCCCGGAGAACTGGCACGCCAAATTGAGAGTGACCTGCTGCAGGAGATTTCAGAGAGGACCTCTATCGACCAGAAATCAGAGGCAGTGAAGCAAGCGGCCTGCAACGCCGCGGCAGAACTTGCCTTTGTATCTCCAGATACCATGACCAGCAAGATTGTCGAGATTATACGCCGAGATCTGGAACCCGAGGAACTGCGCACCATCGGTCCGGTCGAAGCTGCTATCTTCCGAACCCCCGAGGGAACTGCTTTCGTGGATGTCCTCGCGAAAAAGGCACAGACAACCGTACCCGACAAGAACAATAAGGACTACGATATTCTGAAGTGGGAGGCTGAGTTGAGATCGCAATTGGCCCAGAAAAAGGGCCAACAAAAGAAGCTTACTGCCGAGGAAACAGCAAAGGTCAATGCTCAGCTGAAGAAGGAGGCCGGAATCCGCGACACGGTTCGTCGTATCGAGGGAAGACTCCTACGCGGCATTGGCATCATTCAGAGTCTTGCAACCGGACCCCCAACCGAGTCCGCTCTTTGGATTGGACCTGCTGTCAAGGCTCTTCTGGACGTCATTGACGCTGGTGCTGGTCTTCTCACAGGCGATGCTGCTCCCCTGGCTTATCTGGCATGCTCAGACCGTACCACCAGCCGCCTTGGTCCCATGAGACCTTTCGTCGGAGTGGCCACCTTGCGCGCTTGTGAGGTTAGTGCCCTACCCGAGCACTACAAGGAAGAGCCCGTCGACGTACTCGTCACTCGAGTGCTCTACCGACTGCGCTTTGCCGGCGAGCAACGTCCTTTCGATACGGTGTCTCTCATCTACGCCCTTCCCCTAGTGTTTACCGTTCTCGCAAGCGGAGGCTTCGGTTCATCTGCTGACGATCGAGATGCTCAACTTGTTCTCGCCATCGAGTTTCTCTCCTTCCATACGAATATCTGCGAAGACCCGGCAACGCCTCGCTTGGAGGTTATATCCTCTCTGATAATGGCCATGCAGCAGTATACTCAGCATTACAAGATCATCAAGGATTGCTTCGCTGACATGTGCCGATGCGTTGCCCCTAACATGACATCCGAGGAAATCGCCGCCCTGGCTAAGGGATCCATCGTTCCTCAAGTCAGCGTGAGAACCGCTGTACTGCAGGCTATCAGTTCCGAAGTTGATATGAGCGAATCCAACTTCTCCAACGAAATTTGGATCGCATGTCACGACGACATCGAAGAGAATGTGGAGCTTGGTCGTGAGATCTGGGAAGAAAGTGGCTTCGCCCTGTCTGAAGAGGTTCCAGCCAAGATGCTCGTCTACTTGGATAGTGTTGACGGTCAGCTCCGTAGAGCCGCAGCCCGGGCCTTGGCTGAAGCCTGCAAGGCACACAACTCGACGCTGGAGCCTATCTTGGAGTCTCTGAAAGCCTCATACACCGAGCTCGCCAAACCGCGTGTTCCTCAGTTGGATGAATATGGCATGCCTAAGAAAACCAATCTGGCAGATCCTTGGGAATC